GTGTTGCTCTTAAAGAAGAATGCTGTTTTTATTCAGATAAAACGGGACTGGTACAGGATAGCATACAAAAGGTTAAAAATAGTCTGGAGGAAAGAAAAAGAAATAGAGAAAAACAGGAATCATGGTATGAGAACTGGTTTTCTACTTCCCCATGGTTAACCACACTTTTGCCTAGTATGCTGGGCCATAAGGGGATCTTATTGCTGTTATCTTTTGGCCCATGGGCCTTTGCTAAACTAACCAGATTTGTTAAGACCCAGGTGGATATGATGACCAGAGATTCTGTCGCTGTCCATTACCATCTCCTGAACACCCATGATTCCAGAGAGAACCTCGAAACTCCAGATATGGAATGCCCACTTACCTTCTCTAACCTCACTAACCCACCTCCTCAACCCTGGAATCCTTGGAGCAGGATCTTTGATAGAAAAAAATAAGTTAAAACATGTCTCATGACTCTCCGGCCCTCCCTCCTAAAAAAAAAAGAGCTCCTCGCAGTCTTTTCATTTATGATTAACACAGAGGCCCAACGACGGGAATATTGTGGAGCCCTCCCCTGAACAGCACATCATACAGAGGCCGTACAGGCCGGCTCAACATGGCATGATGTCAGGGGAACGAGGATTGCCCTCCACATAGCCTAAACCAGGGACCCTGTGGTCAAAGGTCAAAGACCTGCTTACTTTGGTCCTGCGGATGAGTGACAAAAAAAAAAAAAAAAAAAAAAGGAGGATATGTCAGGAGCCATTTCAGGCTTCTCCTTTCTCACATCTCACAGGGCCTTGAAGTAAAAATCTTGAGACAGAAAACTTAAAGTTAACTAAGACATTGTGTGTGCTGACCTTGGAGATTCAAGCTTCAGACAGCACCTCAGAGTGTCTTCTTTGTTTGCTGCTTATCACTAACAGCGGGTGCTCTAGCCACTGACCTTGCAACTGCCGGGCTTTGCTGCCTAGCTACGGAGCCCTCCTTTCCTTCCCCCTTTCCCCCTTCCTCAGTTCCCCCTGCCCAAGCTCCTCACCGAGGAGTATATAAGACATAAAACTTGCTTCAATAAACGGATGCCTTGACAAAATAGAATACTGCTTGGCCTCTCTCTCTCTCTCTCTCTCTCTCTCTCTCTCTCTCTCTCTCTCTCTCTCTCTCGCCCACGTCTTTCAGATAGTGCCTCTTCAGACCCTAGAATAACTTAGGACCTGCTGGGCAGGTCAGACTCACCCTCTGAAACTGTAAGCAAGCCCTTGGTTAAGTGCTTTCTTTTGTAACAGTTGCTTTGGTTATGGTGTTTCTTATAGCAATAGAACAGTAGCTAAGACAGAAATATTGACTGAAGCCAGGTGGTGGTGGCACATGCCTTTAATCCCAGCACTTGGGAGGCAGAGGCAGGCGGATCTCGGTGAGTTCGAGGCCAGCCTGGTCTACAAGAGCTAGTTCTTAGTTCTAGGACAGGAACCAAAAAGCTACTAAGAAACCCTGTCTCGAAAAATCAAAAAAAAAAAAAAATATTGACTGAATAGGGCCTGAGGGAGCCAGCAGGTTGTTGAAAACATCCTGTATTTAGTCCTGGGTGGTGGTTCTATTCATATGGTCAATAAACACACACTGAGCACCTGTGCCTTCCAGGCAAAGGAGTGTCTGATGAAAAGATGGCCCATTAAGTGTACCATTCCTAGTGGTGAACAGTGGATAGTAACCACAAGGGACCAATGAGGATGTCCTGCAGTGAGCTTTCCTCACTCTGCCAGCCACTCCCCAAAGCACCACGTCCCAGCAAACCCAAATTCTGAAATCAAGATACCTTTATGATCTACACGCTGGTTTAGCTTAGCAGCCGATACAATGAAATGTCTCTTTGTGCTTAGCTCCTTCACAGTCAAAAAGTTCAAAGAAAATACAATAGTATACAGAATCCAGACTCTGTGAATTTTCCATTTTTACATGGCTTATTTTTCTTTGCTCCTTTTAATCTATGACTATCTGTACTGTCTCTTTAAAGACTTTACCCTTTTTTTAAGGCATTAACTTTATTTTATGACTCTTTATACTCTTTTTCTTTTCTCTCCCAAGCCTATGTACATTTATTCAACACTGTGACCCATTTAGAGGTTGTGAATTTTTTTTTTTTTTGGTTTTTCGAGACAGGGTTTCTCTGTGGCTTTGTTCATGGAACTACCTCTGTAGACCAGGCTGGTCTGGAACTCACAGAGATCCGCCTGCCTCTGCCTCCCAAGTGCTGGAATAAAAGGCGTGTGCCACCATTGCCTGGCTTAGAGGTTGTGTATGTCTGAATCTGTCCTATTGTGAATCTGTAATTCTTTACTGTCCAGGAGTACTTTAAAAAAATATTTATTTATTATGTATACAATATTCTGTCTGTGTGTATGCCTGCAGGCCAGAAGAGGGCACCAGACCTCATTACAGATGGTTGTGAGCCACCATGTGGTTGCTGGGAATTGAACTCAGGACCTTTGGAAGAGGAGGCAATGCTCTTAATCTCTGAGCCATCTCTCCAGCCCCCCCAGAAGCACTTCTTAAAGTGCTAAGTGCTTCTTAAAAACTTAAGTTGTCCCCAATCCTCCCCTTCTCCCTTTTTTCTCCCCATCTCCCTTTCCCCCCACTCCACCCCCACCCCCATGCTCCCAACTTTTACCCAGCGATCTTGTCTACTTCCAATTTCTAGGAGGATAAATATATGTTTTTCTTTGGGTTCACCTATAATTTAGTTTCTCTAGGATCACGAACTATAGGCTAGAATCCACTAATGAGTGAGTACATACCATATTCATCTTTTTGGGTCTGGGTAATCTCACTTAGTAAAGTGTTTTCTGTTTTCATCCATTTGCATGCAAAATTCAAGGTGTCATTGTTTTTTACTGCTCAGTGGAACTCTAATGTTTATATGTGCCACACCTTCTTTATCCATTCTATTGAGGGGCACCTAGGTTGTTTCCAGGTTCTGGCTATTACAAATAATGCTGCTATGAACATAGTTGAACAAATGCTTTTGTAGTATGATTGGGCATCTCTTGGGTATATTCCCAAGAGTGGAATTGCTGGATCCTGAGGTAGGTTGACTCCCAGTTTCCTGAGACACCGCTGCACTGATTTCCAAAGTGGTTGTACAAGTTTGCATTCCCACCAGCAATAGATAAGTGTTTCCCTTACTCCACATCCTCTCCAGCATAGGTTATAGGGGAGGATTGAGGAGAGCTTGCGTGAGTGGGATGATTGTGATGGAGGAAGGGTGGATATGGGCACAAGGAAGAAGATATCTTAATTAAGGGAGCCATTTTAGGATTCGCAAGAGTCTTGGCTCTAGAGGGGTTCCCAGGTGTCCAAGGGGATGTTCCCAGCTAGGTCCTTGGGCAGCCGAGGAGAGGGTGCCTATACTGGCCTTCTCCTGTAGCCACACTAATGAATATCTTGCATATCACCATAGAACCTTCATCCGGTGATGGATGGAGATAGAGACAGAGACCCACATCAGAGCACTGGACTGAGCTCCCAAGGTCCAAATGAGGAGCAGAAGGACAGAGAACATGAGCCACGAGGGGTGTGTCCACCCATGGGGACAGTGTGACTGATCTAATGGGAGCTCACTAAGGCCAGCTGGACTGGGACTGATGGAGCATGTGATCAAACCAGACTCTCTGAATGTGGCTGACAATGGGGGCTGACTGGGAAGCCAATGATAATGGCACTGGGTTTTGATTCTACTGCATGTATACAGTCTTCTGTCTGTGTGTATGCCTGCAGGCCAGAAGAGGGCACCAGACCTCATTACAGATGGTTGTGAGCCACCATGTGATTGCTGGGAATTGAACTCAGGATTTTTGGAAGAGCAGGCAATGCTCTTAACCGCTGAGCCATCTCTCCAGCTCAATACTTAACATTTTAAAAATGTATTATTATAGTGTGTAGGTATGAGCAAGATGCATGGGAGGTCACAGTACATGTACAGTGGTCACAGGACAGCTCTGTAGAGTCAGTTCCCTCCTTCCATCTTTACATGGGTTCCAGGGCTCAAGACTTGGTGGTGCCCTCAGAGCCATTCTACCAGCCCTCTGGCTTCTGTAGATCCTCAGGTCTTTCTGTGACAGTGACCTGTGTTGTGCTGGGTGGTGGTGGCCCACGCCTTTAATCCCAGCACTTGGGAGGCAGAGGCAGGCAGATCTCTGTGAGTTTGAGGCCAGCCTGGTCTACAAAGCGAGTTCCAGGACAGACTCCAAAGTTACAGAGAAAAACCCTGTCTCAAAGAAACCAAAGCCCAAACAAACAAAGAAAGAAAAAAAAAAAAGCATGTGTTGTGAGCCTTCAAAGCCAGGGAGACTTTTGTGTTGAAGGTAATTCTTATCTTTACTTGAATTTGTTCATAAGATGTGGGATGTTTCCCAAGGTTCCACTCAGATCAGGTAAACCCCCCCCCCCAAAAAAAAAATTGGTGGACAGCCTGGTCTACAAAGTGAGTTCCAGGAGGGGGAAAGGTCAGGGGCAAAAGCAATGTGTCTGGTTATTATTTGTTTTCAGTCTAGAGCATCTGTTGAGTCCTCCTTCTTGCTTATACCTTTCCTCAAAAGGAAACTATCCAACACATGAGAAGCCAGAGGCAGACTTGCATGGAATAGTCCAGTGTGATGCTGGGGTGGACTTTTGCCCTCTTAACCCCTGTCTTTTTTCTCTTTCCTTCCTCCTCACCTCCTCTCCAAGATCTTATATTGCAGTCCAGGTTGATTCAGAATTCCCCACAGCCTTCTGCCCCAGCTTCCCAGTTTACCACCACCAGGGCTCCAGCCCTATCTTTTTTTTTTTTTTTTTATTAGAAACAAAAACACACACACACACACAGAAATGGCTGCATTACTTGGGGCAACCTTTGATTACCTCAGTTTCTCACTTCGTGGTGGTATCAGTGAGGAGACTATAGAGTGTTAATTGCAGCTGCCCCACAGAAGCACTTTGCCTGCATTGTGAAATACTAGAGTAAATTAGCATTGCCTGAACTCTTTAAAATCAACAGGTCACCTTACTCCGTGGAGGCATCCCCAGGTCGACCCCTTTGTGCTTAGCACTCCGTTTGGTGTCCAGATGCCTTTTGGGGACCAATCGGCAAGTCAGGGATAGACACTCCCCAAGGCTCCAGATGACCACTCCTGTTTAACTCCGCCCCACGGAGAGAAGCGAGGTAGGGGGCGGGGTTGGAGGTTAGGGTCGGCAGGATTGGTGAGTATCCTAGCCCTTCTGGTCAGTCCCCCACCTGCCACCCTCTAATGTGTGCCAGCCAACGATGCTGCTGCTGCTGCTGCTGCTGTTCCTGCTAGGACCTGGACCTCAACTCAGCGAGGGTGAGTGAGGTCTGGCTTCCTCCAACCTAGGTCAGATTCTAAACCTTCTCATTTTCTCACTGCCCCCAACTCAACACATCCTTTCAACACCCAGAGCCTTAAAATCCCTAGTTCTTTCTTCAGAAGCACATGCAGGCTTCTCAGACGCTCAGGAGTATTGTCTCTGAGTCCTTCCAGGGCCCTGCAGTCAGGCATCCATCCAGGAATTCAGGGGTGGGTGGGTATGAGGGTCCTCCCTCCACAGTCCCCACAGCCACCGCAGTCCTCTCTAGCAGCCTGCAGCTCCCAACCCCTGGTCCTGAGCCCTCTGAACTGGCAATCACTTCTCTTGCCTGTGGGGTCTGAGGTGAGACTTCCAGGCAGGACCCTTTGGGTGGAAGGATCAAAGACAGAATTTAGACTCCTGTGGGTGGGTAAGGAAAACCCCTTTAGAGAGGCTTCTCTTGTTGACTCTCTAATCTGGGGGTATAGTAAGACATGCAGGCACAGGGCCAGCCCTGGCCTTACCTGAGTACTGAGGTGCAGGTGTGAAGCTTTGGTTCCAGGACAAACATCACCCAGATCAACATCGCAGATGCCTCAGTTGCTCCAAGCAGCACCCGCCGGGTAATGCAGCTCAGGGGTGCCCAGGATGACCAACACTGGGTGTATACCAGCATGGAGTCCGTGGATCCTGGTACTGCCAGTGGAGGCTGCCCACAGGTAGACAGAGCAAACAGACCCTAGCCTGACCTGCCCCACCCATGTTGGCACAAAGGGAGTGTTTTCTCTGGTTCCAAACCCAGTGCTGCTGACTGGGCTGTTCCAGCCTCTATGATAGCAGAACGGTTAAGAGGGGCTGTGCAGATGGTTTCAGGGCACAGTTGGGAGCGGTTAGGCTAGGAGTGTCTCACCTGGCCTTGGTGGTTCCTGAGGTCAGCAGAGCTTTCCTAGAAGCCTTTCTGTGTGCCAAAGTGTCCAGAGCTGTGTGAGTCAGAGGCCTTTTCTGGAAGAGCACCCAAGCTAGAGGGGCACTCCCATGACAGGCACAGCCTGGGCCACTTGGAGTGTGGCTGTGTGAGCTGGCTGAGCAGCAGGCAGGAGCAGAAGTGGGGTGGGCCTGACTAGAGGGATGGATGGGCTCTGGAGAGGCCGGAAGGCTTGGGACTTGGGGTACAGTGGAGCTGAGAGCTTTACCTCAAATCCATGGGAACCATGGAAGGCTCAGGGCAATTGGAAGAGGGCAGGCTTGTCATCCAGAAAGGAAAGTGTGGCTTCAACTCCTATCTAGCCAAGGATAACCTCCACTTCTGATCTTCCTGCCTCCACCTTGAAGCGCTGGGGACTACAGGCATAGGCTACCATGTCTTCTTTATACAATGCTGGGATGGAACCCAGCTTATGCCGGACGAGCACCCGACTTAGAGCCCCAGTTTCTCTGAACTCAGTTTTCTTCTGATCTGAGCCACCTTGAGAACCCCCTCTCAGTCTCCTGTGTGGTGCTCGAAAGAAAACATGACTGGATATAAGTCCAGTGTGGAGCCTTTAAATAAGTTATTATGATGGGAACATGTTCTAAGTGACATATGAGAGGCGCGGCAGCTCAGGGCCAGGCTACACCTCCACTGTCTTCCATCCTGGAATGGGGTAGGAGAGGTGGGGTGGGTGCAAACACTCAGCAAGCAGACTTGGGAGTTTGGGCCTGCCCTGCTGCCGGGGTCCCCCAGGCTTGCCATTCTGTAGTCCTCCTTCCTTGGGTGTGAGCTGGAGCCTTAGCTCCAGGCTGTGGGCGGAGGCCACTTTCCCAAGTCAGTCTACTATCACCAGGGTTTCCTATCACACCTGTTGAGTGCTACTAGAGGTGCACCAGGACCCAGAGAAATGGCTGGACTCAGGCTAAGGAAGGAAGCTGACCTTGAGATGAAAATTGAAGTTGATAAATAGGGTCCTAAGCCAGAGTCCTGGGCAAAAATAGGGAGGCTCAGAGACTTGGAATCCCAGAGAGCTCTTTTTTTGTGCAAGGATGCTCTTCAGTTATCTCTCATGACAAACAAGCACTAGAACAACCAGCACGATAACTATTTCCTGTCCAGCTTACAGTCTGATTGCCTCTGAAGCTGATGGGCAGAACAGTGAGAACAGGGCATTCTAGGCAGAGACCAGCTTGTGCAAAGGCCCAGTGGTGTGATCTCTCCTGTACGATGGTCTACAGCTCATCCTTCTACTCACACTGTCTTAAAGGTCTGGGCTGGAGTTGAGTTTGGGTACCATGCCTAATGCTATTCTGTGAGCTGATGCCACTTTATCCTGCACTGTGCAAACGAGAAAATTAAAGCACACAGAGAGCTGTAATTTATCCAAGGGCACACACCTAGAGAGTGGGATCAGACCCAGACAAGTGGGAACATCTAAGTCTTTCTCAGGCTAGTGCCTTTCACCATGGATAGGGAACTCTGACCTTGAACCTATGACCTCTGTTTACCCCTCAGCAACCAGAAGGTCACACGTGTACAAGCGTGGTCTCCTGGAACTGGCAGGGACCTTGGATTGTGTTGGTCCTCGATCACCGATGGCCTATGTGAACTATGGCTGTTATTGTGGCCTGGGTGGCCATGGAGAGCCACGTGATGCCATTGACTGGTGAGTGTCCACTGGGACCCAGAGTACAAGATCCCCCAACTCTTAGGACAGCTAAGGCCTAAAAGGAAAAACCCCAAACTGAAGTCAGGTTTGACCCAGGAAGATCCCAGAATCTAGCATTACCCTACATACAGAGGATTTCCTGGGTTCTGGGATCGGTGGGGAGACATCTTGGTACCAGCTAACCTTTGCCCTGGCTGTGAGCCGATGACATCATCTAGTAATCATGATCATAATCAGCTAGTAATCATGATCATAATCAGCTAGTAACAGAAAGCTAGATGACTGGATAGCCCGCAGATTTCTGAGAATCTTTAACAATCCATTTCACAGATAAGGAATCCAAGCTACAGAACTGTCAAATTGCTTATCTGGGCCAGCAGGGAGCATAGGGTATACCCTGTGAAAGACCTGTTCCATGCAAACTGAGAGCCAAGATCGTTCTAGGACATTCTAGTCACTGTCATGGCTCTGCTCAGGAAGAAGCACGGTGCTCATTTCCACTTGGTACTGCAGGCCCCGGTGCTCCCAGAGACTCAGACACAAGCCCGTTGCCACACAGCTAACTAACCAACCGCTCAGCGTACCTCCTCCCTAGCTGGAGAGAGAAACATTATGAGTTGGCCCTGAAGCCTGGATGCATCTGATGACAGCTATGAATCCCTAAATTCCGGCTGTCTGGGTTCCCACACCATGTTCAGAGATGTCTCTGCAATTCCCACACCCAGGAAGCTTCCCCTGAAGCTTAGTTGGGGCTGCCACCTCCTCTGGACCTTCAGGTCCCCCCTGGCTATCCCATACCCCTTACTAATGCCTGTTAGGTAGCTGATCTGCCTCTTTCAACAGATTGGAGAGCAGGGCTGGAGCTGACGCAGTGTTGACAGGTGCAATGGCAGCTGTTTACTGAAGCTCTATCACGTGGCAGGCTAGCTGGCCCTGGAGGACACTGTGAGGGAAGGCAATGATAGGGTTCCACAGAGTTCCAGTCTTTCGGACAAATGGTATGAGGTTTATAGTGAGAACTCATGATTAACCTGCTTGGAGGGAGGAGAAATGTCTATGACAGGGTGTGATAAGAGATATTCCTAGCCTGAGGGAGAAGGAGGCTCGACCACTTCTGAGTGGAATCTGGTGCCTGGGGCCAAGATGCCATTGGGTTGTCCAGAAAAAAGGCACCACCTGGACCCAGTAAGGAAGGGAAACTCAGAGTTACAAGGAGGCAGGTGGGGGTAGGCCCAGGTAAGGTCAGGGAGTAAGGCTGGTAGGCTTCTTCCCCAGGACTGGTACTGTGAGGGGCAGCATGTCCAGAGGACACTTGCTCCTTGAGGATCTTTGCCAGCCCAGCCCTGCTCAGGTGGGAAGGCCGAGAGAGTTCCCTCTTTCACGCCCGCTCTTTACCCAGGTGCTGCCAGCAGCATGATTGCTGCTACTCTCGAGCTCAGGAAGCTGGCTGCAGTCCCAAAATAGACCGCTATGTGTGGAAATGCATTGACCACCGCATCCAGTGTGGTGAGTGCCCCACACCACGTGCTCAGACTTCCCCAAGTGTCCCCTGGGCATCCTGAAAGATCCAAATGGCTTCTGTGCTCTCACAGTAAGGTATCACTGCTTCCAGCTCTCCATAGACCACACAGTGTTACCTAAGAAGTGACTTTTCACACTGGAAACACACATGCACATATTTCTCCATTGTCTGGACAAACAGAAGGAAAGAAAAGATACTTAGAGTCCATCAGGAGGGAACTGGTAGATATGCTCATGATGTATCCAAACCATAGAATATCTCTGACCTGAAGGAAGGATGACGTAGAACCATACATTTGAGGGCCTGTCTAAAACAACAGTAACAACAAAACAAAACCAAACAAACAAACAGAAAGAAACTTTAATAAAAAACATGAACTATGGAGCTGGTGGGACTACATAACTGTCCTTTTGTCCCTGGTGCTGAGGACAGAACCCAGGGCGTCCTTGACTGGTTGAGGGGAAGTGAGGTGTGTACCTTAAGGCACTGGGCCATCAGGAGGGCAGCTCAGGGTGGAGCCTTGCCCAGCTCTGGGGCCCTGAGCACCAGCACTAGGCTTAGTGGTGTCCTTCCATTTACAGCCTTCTTTCAGATGCGTAACCATACAGACAGACTGCGGGTGGGGACAGAGTTGGGCAGTGAGATCCAGTTCTCTGAAGAGCTGCAAACAAAGCAGGCACCAGGCTTTTCTCTGTTCTTTTCCTATTTTTGACAGCATTAGGGATTAGATCTGAGCCTCAAACATGCTCTCCACTGAGAGGCTTCTCCCTGTTCTTTTCCTATTTTTAACAGTACTAGGGATTAGATCTGAGCCTCAAACATGCTCTCCACTGAGCCACACAACCCTAATTCCCTCCTTTTTCTTTTTTTGGTTTTTCGAGACAGGGTTTCTTTGTGTATCTTTGGCTGACCTGTAGACCAGGCTGGCCTCAAACTCACAGAGCTCCAGCTGCCTCTGCCTCCTAAGAGCTGGGATTAAAGGTGTATGCCACCATTGCCTGGCTCCTTTTTTCTTTTAAATGAGAATAAACACAATACAAATTCCATTTCTTTAAATAATAGTTATTATTATTTCAATTATGATGTGTCTATATGTGGGGGTTTGTGTCTGCACGCAGTGCTCAATTGGACTTCCCCAGTAGCTAGAGCCACTCAATATGAGTCTAGAAACTTAGAAAAACAGGAGGTTCTCTGAACCACTGAACCATCTCTCCAGCCCCAAATTTCATTGCTTTAGCTGGGCTGGGGAGGCAGGTAGTTCAGAATGTTAAGGCCCTGGATTCCATGACCACACTGAAAAAAATTATCATTTTTTTTTAAAAAAGAAATTTTATTTTTAATTCTTCAGCTTCTAATTTCATCATGTCTTCCTTCCCTCCCTCACAACTCTCTCATGTACCCCTACACCTTTGCTCTCAGGACACACACGGTGGAAGGAGAAAACTGACTCCAGCGAGTTGACCCCTGACCTCCTCTGCCTACACACCCAAACATGAATTCAAAATGAATATAATAAGGATCTAGTTTTTGTTTAGCCTTGTGATTTTCTCGTTCTCTTTTCTTTCTTCTTTCTTTCCTTCCTTTCTTATTCTTTTTAATTTTTGGTTGTTTTTGTTGCTGTTTTGGTTTTTGTTTCTTGAGACAAGGTTTCACTGTGTTGCCCTGGCTGTCCTGGAACTCACTCTGTAAACTAGGCTGGCCTCGAACTCAGAGATCCACCTGCCTCTGCTTCCCAAGTGCTGGGATTAAAGGCATGCACCACCACTGCCCAGCTTCATTTGCTTTTTTCTAATAAATCACCACACTATGTTTTCACGTGCTTCTTGAATGTTTTTGTATCATTTGGAGCCATGCTCATTTGAGGATGTCATGCAGGTCTCAGGCAGTCCAAATATCCAGAAATAACAGGGTTGGCCCATCCACCTAAAGCTGGACCTAGGAGGATTTCTAGTAGTTAGGTAACAGCCAGCATTCCTCAGGAACGTGTAAAACAGGTTTTCTGTCCACCAAAAGTAGTCACTTCCCTTGCCTCTGGTAGCTATCAGTGTATCAAAGCCCGTGCTAGCTTCCAGGCTCCTACAGCCCCTATTCACAAGCAGCCACCTAGTATCCTGGCCCCTCTCACCTCTTCTCCTTCCCTAAACCCCTAGGCTGTCCACCTTCCCTCCCAGCAGTTACTCATCTCCTTCTACCCCTCCATTCTCTCTCTATTTCCCCGTTTTTTCTTTTGCTATCTCCATTTTTTTCTCCTGCTCTCTCACCTTCCTTGCAGACAACCCTGGCATTGTCCTGGTTTGTTGTTTTTTAAACTATCTTTTCTGGACTCTTATTCCAGATGCCTCTGGATATTTTCTTTCTCTTATCCACAATTTCAAAAACCTCTCCCTAATGGAGCAGTTATTTTGGCAGTTTCCTTACTGTGTCCCCTTGTGTACACCTTTCAATAGGATTGTCTTTTTGCTTTCAATAGGATTTTTTATGTGTATTTTTTAAATTCTCAACCCTTCTTGTGGTTGCTGCTTCTGTTCTGTGGGTTGTTCTCCTTTTCATGGTAACAGTAACACATTTTTCATTTTGCTGATGCTGTAATGATCTGCTCTGTCCCTTTAAGAGATAAGCCAGCACCGCCCACCCCCACCACTGAGGCAAGCTGATCTTCAGTTTCCAGCCTGAGTCTTTTCCTTTTCCATCTCCCTCTTCTCTCTCTGCTTCTGTCTCTCCCCTCTTCTCTCTCTCTCTCTCTCTCTCTCTCTCTCTCTCTCTCTCTCTCTCTCTCTCTCTCTCTCTCTCCCCTTCTCCCTCTCCCCTCTAGAGCCCACTAAATAAATATCCAACCTCACTCTACATGACTTGCCTATCCATGTCTCTGTCTCTCACCTGCAGTGTGACTCCCTGCCCAGGACCTGCCCTCAGAGACCTGCAGCATGGTCTCGTGGCATACCCATCTGTCTGTCTCTTCTCATGGGACTGGCTGCCTGGTCGAGGTCTCTCACTAGCCACACGGCTCCCTGCCTGGACCTCGTGGCCCACTGCAGCCACTTCGGGGACTGTACTGTCCCTGCCTTGGAATGGCTGCTCTGGGACCCGCTGCCCACTGCCGCCGCTTGGGGACCTGCAGCATTTCTGCTGCAGCAGCCACTTGGGGATCCGCAGCATTTTTCTTAATCCATTACAGATGCCCTAGTCAGCTGTTTGTTTATTGTTGCTATGTGGCTGATGTTTAAGAATTGACTGAGAAACACAGCACAGCAAAGGTTTACCTGTTTTCTTCTAATAGTTTGAGATTGATGGCAGTGATCCACTTTGATTTAACTTTCATACAAACAGTAGGCTGGTCTGATTTCATTCTTTGGCATATTGTGACACAACTGTCTCAGCACTTTGCTAAAGAGTCATTCTTTCCTCTCTTAGATAACATCAGCCCTCTGTTGAAAAATCATTTGAGGGCTGGAGAGAGGGCTCAGAGATTGAGAGCACTGGCAGTTCTTCCAGAGGTCCTGAGTTCAATTCCCAGCAACCACATGGTGGCTCACAACCACCTATAATGAGATCTGGTGCCCTCTTCTGGTATGCAGGCAAACATGCATGCAGAACACTGTATACATAGTAAGTAAATCTTTAAAAAGAAAGAGAAAATCACTTAACCCTGGATGGGTGATGGCTGTGTCACACTGAGCTATTGACAACCTATCTGAGCTGCATTTCCTTACCTGGAAAGCCGAGTGTTGCAGAGATGAGAGTTCAGAACGTGTGTGTGTGTGTGTGTGTGTGTGTGTGTGTGTGTGGTATTTTCCCTCTTCCTGTCCCTTCACTAAGCTTCTAAAGACTGCTCTGGAGGCAGAAAGAGGCAGACACATCATAGGAGGGTGGCTCTGATAATCACTGCTCCTGGCAGGAAGGCAGAGCTGGTAGTGGAAAGTTGGGGTGAGCCAGAGGGCGTACTGGGTAAGGATGCTTGCTGCCAAGCCTGATGACCTGAGTTTGACCCATGGGTTCCACATAGTAGCAGAATGAAAAACCAAAGTGTCCCATGGTGTGTCCACCCCAGCCCCAGCCCCACCAAAGACAATGATCCCTTCAAAACCAAAATAAATATAAAATAATTTTTAAAGATTTATGAATGTATTTGAGTGCTCTGTTTGCATGTATGTCTACATGAAAAGGGCGGCAGTTCCCACTATAGATGGTTGTGAGCCACCATGTGCTTGCTGAGAATTGAACTCAGGACCTCTGGAAGAGCAGCTCTTAACCACTGAGCCATCTTGATCCAGGCCTAAAATAATTATTTTAAACAGTAAAGTTGAATCACTGTGGAAACATTACATTCCTCTGTCCATGCTTAGTACATGCAAGGCAAGCACCGTACTACAACTGAACTATATCCTGTTCATTTTGTGTTGGGGAAACTGAGGCCCAGGGTAAGAAGTGACTTGCCCCTGAACTCCTAGCACGGGCAAAGAGGTGAAGTAAGACCTTGTGGGGAAATGGACCTTATAGCTTTCCTGCCCTCCCCTTCAATGGCATGTTATCCTCAGTTACTGCCTGTGTGGGCATGGTGACCATGGAATGTCACCACTATGTCTGCTGTTAGTCTGTGTTTGTTTTCAGAGCTCTGTCCCTGAGTCACACAGAAAGATCCAAGGTACCTGTTAAAAGTTTTCAACAAAAATATTCTGTTGAGATATTCTGAATATAGTTGTTTATTTGATTATAAGTTTGGCCAATTTTCCATTTATGGGCCTGACAAACATATTTAAAAATTTTCAGCCTATGATAATATTTACTAGCAGGCTTTAATTTATTTATTTTCTATTTTCTTTTTTCTTTTTTTTTTTTTTTTTTTTTTNTTTTTTTTTTTTTTTTTTTTTTTGAGACAGGGTTTCTCTGTATAGCCCTGTCATGGGAACTCACTCTGTAAACCAGGCTGGCTTTGAACTCACAGCAATCCCCTGCTTCTGCCTACCAAGCTGGGGTTAAAGGTGTGTGCCACCATTGTTTGGCTCAGGCTTTAAGTCTAACAAACCCATGGGAGCTAGTTTTCCTTTTCCTTTAAATATTATTTATTTTTGAGATAATTGTCTCACAGCATAGCACAGCCTTACTGGCCTTGAACTTTCCAAACTTCTATCTCAGGTCTGGATTGCTGGGGTTACAAGTGTGCACCAGTGGCCTGGGTCTTGAATTTATCTCAACAGTGAGATTCTGTGAATCTCAGGCCACAGAGAGAGGATCTGTCCTACTCTGAAAGCCTTTCCTGCCCGGGAGAAGACTTTCCCTAGGCTTGAATCCTGGGTGACTCCTTCCCAGGTCTGTGACCTTGACTATGGAATCCCTTTGAGCCTCAGTGTTCTAGTCAGTGAAAAGGGAATAATAAGATCTAATTGTGGGCTGGCAAGATGTCTTGGTGGTTAAATGTGCTGGCTTCCAAGCCGGACAACCTGAGTTTAATTCTCAGGACCCATGTGGTGAGCGGGAAGAACTGATTTCTGTAAGTTGTCCCTGACCTCCATAATCACCCTGTTATAAATTTAAAAAAAAAATCATTCAGTTTTGGGGCTGGAGAGATGGCTCAGAGGTTAAGAGCACTGGCTGCTCTTCCAGAGGTCCTGAGTTCAATTCCCAGCAACCATATGGTGGCTCACAACCATCTGTAGTTTGATCTGGTTCCCTCTTCTGGCATGCAGACAGATCACTGTATAAATAATAAATAAATTAATTAAAAAAATAATCATAATCACCCTGTTGACACAGATGCACAAACACACACACACAAAAATTAAAATAATAAAACAATTTCAAAAATGAGAAATTTGAAAAAACGTTGTTGGTTTCTATGAGCACTGGGAATAATATAGGGCTCCAGTTTATTCTCTCAACATTGTCTCTCCTGCCCTTCTTCCTTTTCTTCTGTCTGCGAATGCACACACCACAACGTGTGTCCCAAAGGACACTTCCTTGCAGGAGTCAGTTCTCCTCTTCCACCGTGTGGCTCCCGGGAGTCAAGCTCAGGTTGTCAGGCTTGGCAGCCAGCACCTCTACTGATAGAGCCTTCTTGCTAGCCTCCAAATGCTTAAAAAAAAAAGATTTTATTTTTATATGTATAGGTGTTTTGCCTCCATGTATTGCTGTGTCTGGTGCCCACAGAAGTCAGAAGAGGGCTTCAGATACTGAGACAGAGTTAGAGACTTGTGAAGCAGGGGGGACTGGGAATCAAACCCAGGTCCTTTGTAAGAACAAGTGTTCTTCACCTCTGCGGTCCCTCTAGCCCCCATCAGGAGAAGTGCCATTTGTTATAACATGGACACAGCCAATCTGAGAACATGAAGCAGAGTGACAGGAAGCAGGTGACCCCATTTGTCTGAAACAGTATATCTCTGCAGACAGAAGAGATGGGAACGAGGAGTGATGTTAAAGATTACAGAGTTTCTCTTGGGGTGACAGAAATGTGGAATTAAATAATACTAACATTGTGAATGTTCTCAATTTAACCAATTTGTTTAACTAATTACTTAACACCTAATTAGTTAATAAGTTCTCTTTTTTTTCCACATGTGCATTGGTATTTTGCCTGCATGTATGTTTGTGTGAAGGTATCTGATCCCCTAGAACCGGAGTTACAGACAGTTGTGAGCTGCCATGTGGGTGCTGGGAACTTAGTTGGGTCCTTTAGAAAAGCAGCAAGTGCTCTAAATTGTTGAGCCATCTCTCCAGTCTTAGCTTTTATTAATTTTGCTTTTCAAGACAGGGTTTCTTTATGTAACAGCTCTGGCTGTCCTGGAACTAGCTCTGTAGACTAGGCCGGCCTTGAACTCAGAGATCCACCTACCTCTGCCTCCCTTGTGCTAGGGTTAAAAGCAAGTGCTACTACCACCCAGCTAATTTTTAATGTTTGAGTCAGGGTCTCCTGCAGGCCAGCCTGGCTTCAAATTCACTAGGTAGTCAAGGATCGCCTTGACCTTGAGATCTTTCTGCCTCCACCTCCCAAGTGCTGGAACTACAAGAGTGTGCTCCCATGCCAGTTTTGGTCCTGGATTTGGAGTCTAGAGTGTTGTGTGCTAAGCAGGCGTACTGCCAGCTCAGAGCACCCCCAGCCCTGGGATGGAATGTGTAACAGCCTATCTCACCCTGGATGTCTAAGAGTCAAAGTAGAGGATGATCTTGTTCTATTTACTTACCTTTTACTTGTTTAGTTGGTGGCAGGAACAGAACCCAGGGCTTCATTCAAGCTTGCCAAGTAGTCTACCAATTAGCTATACCCTCAGCAGTGCTCCTGTTTGACAAGGTCACAGAGCTAAGAGCAGGAACTGCAAATCCAGGCCTGAAAGGATTCCTAAGTGAAACAGGGTAATAGTGACACTGAAGAGGAGCCAGAAGCTTGTCCATTTGACAAGCTAAGTTCCTTCCTTGTAGAAGCTGGCTGTCATTGCTGCCTCCTGGCGTGCTCTTGTCCATGGAGGGCTACGGCAAAGTTATAAGGTATCACAAAAGTGTTCTGCCTCCAACTTTACTGACTTACCTGGCATTTATTCTCGGTGTCTGCTCTGACCTCAGTTTCCCTACTTCTTCCAGGACCCACAGAGAACAAATGCCAAGAAGTCCTGTGCAGGTGTGATGAGGAGCTTGCATACTGCCTCGCTGGGACAGAGTACCACCTGAAATACCTCTTCTACCCCTCGCTTTTATGTGGAAAGGACTCACCCAAGTGCCACTGACAGGCTGGTCTTAAAATGTTCGTTTGCCCACGGAAATGAAGTTCACTTTCAGTAATGAACAACAGCATTCAATTTCTGCAGGAGGTAGTGGAAGCCAAGTGATAAAGCCTCATGTTTGTTCTCTCCCTCCATTCAGGAACTCAGGAGTGTGAGCCTGTGGAGCTGTAGTTAGATAAGAGCTGAAAGTCTTGGTCTGTTTCAAACAACTCCCATTGTGCTGGGCCGGGATTAGTTTTGATGCTCAACTTTTATGAAGCAGCATGCTATCTTCTAATCACTGTTGATGGCTGGTGGTCAAGTGGGGATGAGCTCCTGCTTGAGGCTTGGCTGTAATAAGATTGCTGCATGGGACACCTAGGAATTGTTACTGTAATAAAAACATTACAGCCGGGCAGTGGTGGCGCACGCCTTTAATCCCAGCACTTGGGAGGCAGAGGCAGGCGGATCTCTGTGAGTTCGAGGCCAGCCTGGTCTACAAAGGGAGTTCCAGGACAGGCTCCAAAGCTACAGAGAAACCCTGTCTTGAAAAACCAAAAAAAAAAAAAAAAAAAAAATACAGTATTTATTTTCTCTGTCATTTCCTAAAAGCTGGGTGTGGTGGCACACACCTGCCGTATTCTGATGGAGGCTGTGGCTGGAAGGTCACTTCAGCCCAGGAATCTGACAGAAGAACCTGTTTCTAAAAGAAGAAGAAAACCATTTCCTGGGTCGGTGGCACCATTGTGTATTCAGGCATTTGTACGGCATGTCAGAGATTCTGAGTTTGATTTCCAACATCTCAAGAAAAAATTCAAAAAAAAAAAAAAAAAAAAGAAAATGTAGAGCAAGCTATAAAGTCTAAAAAGTGAATGAGCCAGGCGGTGGTGGCGCATGCCTTTAATCCCAGCACTCGGGAGGCAGAGGCAGGCGGATCTCTGTGAGTTCGAGACCAGCCTGGTCTACAAGAGCTAGTTCTGGGACTGGGACCAAAGCTACAGAGAAACCCTGTCTCGAAAAAAACCAATAAATAAATAAATAAATAAATAAATAAATAAATAAATAAATAAATAAAATAAAAAGTGAAATCACAGGCCAGAAGAAGAATGCTCAGTAGTTCACAGTACTTCCTGCACATTTAGGGGACCTGAGTTTGGCTCCCAGCATGCATACAGTTTAGCTCAACTGTTTTAACTGTGGCTCCAGAGAAACTGACACATCTGGCTTCTGCAGGTACCTGCCCTCACATTCTCTCACACACACTAATTAAAAATATTTTTTTTTAAAGACAGCATTCCAAACCTTTGGAATACAAGATGGGAGCTTTTGCTCTTTGCCTGCTTACCCTCATTCCAGATGGCAAAGTCTATTTCTTCACTGGCTTTAGAGCGTACTTCTTTGGGGTTCCAGTGTCTACTGAAGATCAGTCAAGACACTCAGCCTCAATGACTGAGCAACTGATTACTGGGTTCTTGGACTGTCCACACATAGAGTTATTGCGTATAAATCATCCCAATAAATCCCTTTCTATATACAGAATTCTGTTCCTCTAGAGAACCCCGACTAATACAGATTTTGGTACCAGAAGAGGTTCTAGAGCAACAGAGGTATAAGGATGAATCTTTGAGATTCTGGAATAGACTTCAATTTACCAACACCTACAGTTCCTGTAGCCTCTGCTGTTACTGAAGCCTTTCCTGGGAATTCAGAGAGTACTGACAGCCCATGCTGTGAGCAGCAGTGGGATTGGTGGTGGCTGTAAGAGCTGCCCTTTTTCCTATATTGACCCTGAATGTCTAAGAGCATGGGAGATCTTTCCATTTTCAGGTTCTTCCTCAATCCCTTCAAAGACTTCAAGTTCTTGTCATACAGGTTTTCACTTCTTTGGTCAGAAGTACCCCAAGATATTTTATATTATTTGTGGTTACTGTGAAGGGTGATGTTTTTCTAATTTCTTTCTTAGCCCGTTCATCATCTGTATAAAGGAGGGTTACTGATTTTCTTTTTCTTTCTTTTCTCTCTCTCTCTCTCTTTTTAAATGTTAGGATTTTTATTTAGACCTTTGTGCCTTTATAAGATACATTTCATTTGCCTATTGATTTTTATTGTGGTAGACGTAATCTTAGTGGCTTTTATTTACGACAACTTGCAGTTTCTCTCAGGGTCATTACTAAATTTTTTTAAAGATTTGTTTATTTACTATGTATACAGTAGTTTGCCTGCAAGTATGCCTGCAGGCCAGAAGAGGGCACCATATCTCATTACAGATGGTTGTGAGCCACCATGTGGTTCCTGGGAATTGAACTCAGGACCTTTGGAAGGCCGGTGCTCTTAACCACTGAGCCATCTCTCCAGCCCTCTCTCTTTCTCTTTGTTAATCTTGTATTCTGCTTCATTACTGAAGGTGTTTATGAATTCTAGGAGTTCCCTGGTAGAATTTTTGAGGTTACTTATGTAAACTATCATATCATCAGCAAATAGTGAGTTGGACTTTTCTGATTTGTATCCCTTTGATCTTCTTTTGTTGTTTTATTACTCTTGCCAGGACCTCGAGTACTATATTGAATAGATGTGGAGAAGGTGGACAACCTTGTCTTGTTCCTGATTTCAGTGGGATCACTGTTTCTCTCCATTTAGTTTGATGTTGGCTTGCTGTATATTGCCTTTATTATGTTTAGGTATATTCCTTCTATTCCTGTTCTCTCCAAGACTTATCATGAAAGGGTGTTGAGTTTTGTCAAAGTTTTTTTCTTTTTCTTTTTTTTTTTCTGCATGTAATGAGATGATCATGTGGTTTTATCTTTCAGTTTGTTTATATGATAAATTGACAGATTTTTGTATGTTGAACCATCTCTGGGATGAAGCCTACTTGGTCATGGTGGATGAGTTTTCTGATGTGTTCTTGGATTTGGTTCTTGGATACAGTTGGCCAGTATCTTATTATTTTTGCATTAATGTTCATATGTGGGACTGGTTTGTAACTCTCTTTCTTAGTAGTGTCTTTGTGTTATTTAGGGATCAGGGTAACTGTAGCATTGTAAAAGTTTGCCAGTGTTCCTTCTATTTCTATTGTGTAGAACAATTTGAGGACTATTGGTATTAGTTCTTTGAAAATCCTGTAGAATTCTACGCTGAAACCATCTGGTTCTGGCTTTTTTGGTTGAGAGACTTTTGATGACTGTTTCTATTTCTTTAGCAGTTATAGGTCTATTTAATTTGCTCATCCGGTCTTGATTTAAATTTGTTAAGTGATATTTATTCAGAAAAATTTCCATTTCCTTTAAGTTTTCCAATTTTGTGGAGTACAGGTTTTTGAAGTATGACCTGATGATTCTCTGGATTTCCTGTGTCTGTTGTTATGTCCCCCTTTTCATTTTTGATTTTGTTAATTTGGATATTCTTTCTCTTCTTTTGGTTAATTTGGTTGATTTTCCCAAAGAACCAATTCTTTGTTCATTGATTCCTTGTATGTTACTTGGCCTTTTTCCTTTGCAGCTCTTAATAGCTTTTCTTTGTTCTGTATGTTTAGTGTTTTGGTTATTATTTGACAAGGAGACTTTTTTTTATGTTCTGTAAGCTTCTTGTATTTCCATAGGCGTGTTCTTCTTTAGGTTGGGCAAGTTTTCTTCTATGATTTTGTTAAATGTTTTCTGTTCCTTTGAGTTGGACAACTTCTCCTTATTCTATCCTTATTATTCTTAGGTTTGGCCTTTCCATGGATACTTTGTGTTAAGCTCTTGTTAGATTTAACATTTTCTTTGACTGATGAATCTGTTTCCTCTATCCTATCTTCAACACCTGAGATTCTCTCTCCCATCTTTTGTATTCTGTTGTTTATGCTTGCATTTATGGTTCCTGATCATTTACCCATATTTTCCATTTCCAGAATTCCCTCGGTTTGTGTTTCCTTTATTGTCTCTATTTCGGTTTTCAAGTCTCGAATCATTTCTTTCATCTGTTTGATTGCTTTTTCTTGGTTTTCTATAAAAGTTTTGTTGACTTCTTCCAATTTTTTGTCTTTTCCTCTAATTGTTTCAGGGAATTTTTCATTTCCTCTTTAAGGGGCTCAAACATTTTGCTAAATATTTTTAAGGTCATTTTCTTCTGCTTCATCTGTGTTGGGATGTTCAAGTTTTGCTGTTGTATAGCCATTAATTTTTGATGGGTCTGTGTTTCCCTTTGTGTTTTTGAGTATGTTCTTACCTGGTCTATCATCTTTTCCTCCAATTGGGATAGCTGGGATGTGTCTTCAGTGGTCACTCCTGCAGGTGACAGTGGGTCCAAGGCTCATATGGTGGCTCCTCCAGTTGCACGGTGCTCTCAGAAGTCTCTCTGTGCTCCCGGAGGTCGCTTGGCACTCCTTGAGGTTGCTGAGGCATTCTTGCCTACTCCAAGGTAGTTTTTTTTTTTTTTAAATTTATTTATTATGAATACAATATTCTGTTTGTGTGTATGCTAGCAGACGAGAAGAGGGCACCAGGCCCCATTACAGATGGTTGTGAGCCACCATGTGGTTGCTGGGAATTGAACTCAGGACCATTGGAAGAGCAGGCAATGCTCTTATCCTCTGAGCCATCTCTCCAGCCCCCTCCAAGGTCCTTGGTTGCCTGCTCCCCGAGGTCGCTTGGGCCTTCCTTCTCCTGGAAGTTTCTGGGTCCTTTCTTGCCTGCTCCCAGAGGTCACTCAGGTACTCCGGGAAGTTGCTCGAACCATCCTTGTCTAAAGGTTTCTAAATGTACCTTAGAATAAAATCTTCTCTCCAACAGCCAAAGAGCTCAAGTTGCAGAAAATCAAACTGAAGCTCTCATTATAAGGTTGGCTGAATTACAGTGAAAATTTAAGTCCCAGCCTTGGAACAAATCCGTGGTTAAAAGGTATTAATAGGTAAAGAGTGGAATATTTTAACTTGGAATGCGAATAAGTGCAAGGGCCATATTGAAGCTGAGAACTTTGAACTCTCAGATTCTCAAGGGCTTATCTCACTTTAAAATATAGTCTCTAGCCGGGTGGTGGTGGCGCATGCCTTTAATCGGGAGGCAGAGGCTGGCGAATCTCTGCAGATTTGGAAGTCTGGTCTACAAAGTGAGTTACAGGACAGATTCCAAAACTACACAGAGAAACCCTGTTTCAAAAATAGTCTCTCCACCCCCAGTAGCTGCACTCACAGCTCTACTCCCTGAAGTATTTCTTTCCTGCCTTTGCCTGAGGAAACTAATCCTTCATTGTCTGCTAAACCACCAGAGACCTTCCCTGAAGAAGATAATAAGGATATCCCTCAGATCCAGAATAGTTGTCCTAGACCTATAACCAGACTTAAGGCAAAGCAGAGGTCTAGAGGGGAGGTATAAAGTGTAGTCCATGACGAGGTGCACTACATTATTAAAGAGCTTAATGAGTCTGGGGAAATATATGGGAATGGATTTTAAGGGTGAGGAATAATAGGGGAAGGAACATAAAACTGGATCAGGCTGTTTATTCATATGTGCATTCTGAGTAGAGATGTTAGGTTTAATATACAAGTTTGCACAGTTGAAAAAGGTGTCAAGGCAGGGCAGTAGTGGCCCACTGGCCTTTAATCCCAAAACTTGGCCTCAATTTCGAGGCCAGCCTGGTCTATAGAATGAGTTTCCAGGGCAGCCACAGACAGCCACTACACAGAGAAACCGTCTCAAAACAAAACAAACAAAAAACAAAAACAAGGGCTGGAGAGATGGTTCTGGTGATAAGAGCATTGACTGATTTTTTTTTTTAAATTTTTTTGTTTTTTTTTCAAGACAGGGTTTCTCTGTAGCTTTGGAGCCTCTGGAACTCCCTTTGTAGACCAGGCTGGCCTCGAACTCAGAGATCGCCTGCCTCTGCCTCCCAAGTGCTGGGATTAAAGGCGTGCGCCATCACCGCCTGGCTTTAACTGATCTTCTAAAGTACTAGGATTCAATTCCCAGGACCAATATGGCAGCTCACAACTGTCTGTAATTCCAGTTTCAGGGGACTCGACACCCATGACAAAACACCAAAGTGCATAAAATAAAAAATTTAAAACAAGGCGTCAAAAGTCTCTGTGAGCTGTTGGCTGAAGCAAAAGACCAAAAAGGAACTGGAGATGGCTGATGAGGGGATTTTAAGGCTCAGGGAATTGCAATGTAAAACCCAATCCTCCACCATGGGAAGGCCCAGGAGACATGCCTTCATTAATTGTATAAGACACAAATGGTGAGCGAGTCACCAGCAGTTAGAGATGCTGCTGCTCAGGTGGATGAATTAAATGCAATGGGTGTAGTTGAGCCCAAGGTGGCGCCCAAGTGTCAGCACTGAACTGCCCAAGGCAAGATGATCATAGTTATCATGCTGGTCAGCACAGGCAAACTGAAATTCATGGTGGCATGAAGCACACAGACCTTTGGTACTGGCTAGTGAGCCATGTTGTTGGCATGCATGAGAAAGGTAAGAGCCACTGAATTTTTGTATAAGCAGAGAAGTTCTCAAACAAATGAAAGAAAGGCTATACTAGATCATGGCAAAAGGCGATCTCAGCATGTGAATCAATTTTCAGACTTGACCCAGTATGCAAACCCAGAACCCCCTGAGTTAAGGGATGCCCAGATTCCCCTGAGGAAGGACCTTGAAAAAACGTTTTACTGTTAGCCTTTCTCCAGTCCTTTCCCAGAGGGACCAATGGCCTTTCATGAAGGTATCTCTATAGTGGAGGAAGGGGGGGGGCAAAATTTGTGTTTTTGGTGACTATTGGATGCTGTTCTGAATTAATGCTAATTCTGGGAGATTCAAAGATACACTGTGGCCCTCCACGTACAGTAGGAGCTTTCGGAGGTCAGGTGATGAACAGAGTCATGCTAGGTCCAGTGGGTCCCTGAACTCATTCTGTGATTATTTCCCAAGTCCCAGGATGTATAATTGGGATAGAGACACTTAGAAGTTGGCAGACTTCTCATAGCTGGAAAGGCAGAGTGGAAGCCAATGGAGTTGTCTCTAGTAGAGAAAATAGCGAATCAAAGACAGTATCACATCAATGAAAGAACTGAAAAAAAAAAAGGTAAGTCAGGTATGGTGGCACACCTTTGATCCCAGCATTCCAGAGACAGGCAGGTGGATCTCTGTGAGTTTGAGGCCAGCCTGGTTGGTCTACAAAATGAGTTCCAGGAAAGCCATGGCTATTACACAGATAAACCCTGTCTTGAAAAAGAAACAAACAAAAGAATTACAAAAATTAGTGCCACCATCAAAGTCTTGAAAGATGTAGGCACAGTGCATTCCACCACATCTCCCTTTAACTCTCCTATCTGGCCAGTGCAGAAGATGGATCATCATGACAGCTGATTACTGAAAACCCAATCAGGTAGTGATTCCAATTGCAGCTGCTGTACCAGATGTGGTGTCCTTATCTGAGTAGATTAACACAACTCCTGGTGCATACTGAACTAGCAGGTGCCTTTTTGTGTGTGTGTATTTGTCCATAAAGGCCACCAAAATGAATTTTTTCAGTTGGCAAGGCCAGAATGTTACCTTTCCAGTTTTACCTCAAGACTATATTAACTCTCCAGGCCTATGCCATAACTTAGAGGGATCTTGATCATCTGTCTCTTCCACTAAGTGCACACTGGTGCACTATATTGATGACATTATGCTATTTGGACAACGTGATTAGGAGGTAGCAATAACTTTGAACTCATTGGTAACACATATGTGCATCAGAGGATGGGAAACCAAACTTCAAGGACTTTCTACATCAGTGAAACTCTGAGGAGTGCAGTGGTGTAGGGCACGCTGGGATATTCCTTCTAAGGTAAAGGTAAGTTATTGCCACCGGCCCCTCCCATCACCAAGGAAGAAGCACATTTAGTAGGCTTAACTGGATTTTGAAGACAGCACATTCTTCATTTGAGTGTTATTCCTACCCATACTCCAAGTGACTCGGAAAACTGCTAGCTGTGTGTTTGTATGTTCAGCCGTGGGGTGGGAAGTCCCAGAACAGAAGGCTCTGCAAAAGTTTCAGGCTGCTCTACCACTTGGACCATGATCTAGCAGACCTGATGGTACTTAGAGTCGTCAGTGGCAGATAGGGATGCTGTTTGGGGGAGCCTTTGATAGCCCCTGTAGGTGAATCACGGAAGAGACCTTTGGGACTTTGGTTCTTTGGCCTGCCATTGGGGCTTGCTGGAAACTGAACTTTTTTTAAAAACATATTTATTATGTATACAGTGCTCAGATTTGTAGAGGTCTGTTTCACAAGGACACCTTCCTTTTGATGACCCCATGTAACGCATGTCTGCTCTATGTGCTACGATACAGTTCATGAGTCAGGCAAGGGGTTCGAGACTGAAACACACACACACACACACACACACACACACAGAGACATGGGTCATCCTTGAAACAAGAATGCCAATAATGATTCTTTTATTGTGTTCCAGGGCAGCTTATATAGGGTCTCCATGACTAATGGCCATCCTCTAATTCTCAGCTGCAAGCCCACTAGAAACCATTCCCCTGCCATCAGGAACTCCTGAGGGTCTCATGCTTGGAGCAGCTGCAGGAAAACAAGTTGTTCACCACTGAAAGGCAGGGGGAGTCACAGGAAATTCAGGGTCTGGAGGTCCACAGTCCTCAACCCCAACCCTCCCTGATAGGGTAGGAAGATTCAAAGATTAGAGCAAGCACTTAGTGCTGGATATGAGCATGCTCACTCTAACGGAAACTAGAGTACCAGCCCATCTGGTTGCTCTTTTCCCAGAGCAGATCTGGGCATTACTCATCTTTGAGGTACGGTGTTGGTGCATGTGGGGTCAGCATGAAAGGCCACATGTGGGAATGGTGTATTGGGAGGCTGCCTATTTGTGGTCTAACCTGGACACTACCGAACCTAGCACAGTCACTACCAGTGCAATAACCTTTGTCAGCCAACATCTACTTCATCATGAGAAAGAAAAGCACAGGAAGGAGTCTCCAGGGTTATGTCCAGGAATGCACAAATAATACAGTGTGCCTGAACCACAGAGTCGCTGTCTCACATAGACAAAAATCAGGTGGCCCTAGAGCTCCATGAGAAAACTGGGAAAGGACATTTTTCCTTCATTGGAGATATCACTAAGCAGCATCCTGGCTAAACACCCCACTCAACCTGACTATGTCATAACACATCAAGCTATGTAGTATTTTCCTTGTACTTCCTCAGAATCAGATTTCTCTACAGAGGTTTTATTTATATAAAAATAATTGAAATAATTTTTATTTCAAGTAATTGTCCAAACTTCCAAATGCAAATTTTAACTGAAATCATAAAGGGTTAATGAATTACAAAGTCTCTCTCTCTCTTTGGATATAAGCTTGTTTGCACAAAGCCAAGGCTGATGAGCTCACACCTCTACACCTGCTGTGTCCACACTGGTCACCATTTGGCTCAACTCCATATTTATGACGGCAGCACTTGGTATAATTGTACCCACTGCTAAACTTCAGGACCATAAAGACTATACATTATACGGCACAAGAGCAGCTTACAAATGTTTCCTTGCAGAGACGATACTGTACTTATCCTGCATATTATGTTTTCAAAACAAAACCCCAGCAGTGCTCTCAGTCACTCGACTGGCTCAGTCTGATGGGTGTCCCACTCAGCTCTGTCATCACAGAAAGGAAAATTAATTCCCAATGACCACAACAGGAAACAAGACAGCTAGCCATCACTCTCTCGGCCTGAAGCTTTCTCTAGGTTTACTCTGAAGCCTACCAACTCCTCAGTTAAGAAACTGATTAAGATAAACACAGAACAGCTGACCTGAGCTAATGGGAGCTCAGACTCTAGCCTGACAGCATAGGACCCTGCATAGGACCAAACTAGGCCCTCTGAATGTAGGTGACAGTTGTATGGCTGGGGCAGCCTGAGGAGCCACTGGCGGTGGGGGCCAGGATTTATCCTTACTGCTTGAGTTGGCGTTTTGGAACCCATTCTCTTTGGAAGGATACCTTGCTCAGCCTAGATATAGTGGGGAAGGCCTTGACCTGCCTAGACTTTGGGGACTCTTCATGGGAAGCCTTACCCTCTCTGAGAGTAGATAGAGGTCGGCTTCAGGGAGAAGGTGGTGGAAGCAGGAGGAGGGGAAGGAGTGGGAACTGGGATTGGTATGTAAAATTTCAATTAAAAAAAAAAAAAGCCGAATTCTGGGTTTTCCTTTGTATTTTGTATATGTAACTATGCCTATGACCAAATCCTATCCTTGTTTTCCTAAACTTGGCCCCAACAGGCCTAGTTTGGGGAGCTTGTCAGTCCATGAGGTTAAGGCTAGTAGACCCTGGTGGCCTTCTTCTTTTTGTTGCTGTTGTTGTTGTTTTCAAAATAGGGTTTCTTTGTAGCCCTGGCAGTTCCGGAAATCATTCTGTAGACCACTCTAGCCTTGAACTCTGAGATCCACCTGCCTCTGCCCCCCAAATGCTGGGATTAAAGGCAGGCGTGTGCCACCTCGTCCAGCCTGTGGTGGTCTTCTGACATGTCACTCCACATTGTGTCCATGACCATCATTCCATAGTAGTCCGAACCTCCCAAGTCCTGTAAGAAGAGTGACTGGCTGTTGGCTGCCGAATCTCACCTGACCTGGGTAGTAGTCAGCTGCCAAGGTGCAGGAGACAGAGGAAGAAGGGACCTGGCTGAAGCCTTGACACACAGAAGCAGCACCTTGCTTTACCATGGTAGAAATGACGCCCCTGCTTCTTTGACTGTCATAGCTTGGACATCAGGGAGACTCACAGGCTCTCCTGGACCTTGCTGCTGGTCATAACACTTGGGTTTCCAGCCGCCGGACTTCCTTGACCACCAGGTCAATGTTAATAATCGGGCTGAAGTAGAGAGCCCAGTAAAACAGACAGCTGCAGACAAACTGTGGAATGAGAGGCCAGAACATGGCCATGAAGAGCCCCTGCGTAGACACTTTCCAGAAATGGCTCCACATCCTTTGGGGCACAGTCCTGAAAAGAAGAGAAGAGTGGTGGGCGGGCTTGGACATGCTGGGGTACTGAGGTCTGCCCTGTCATTTGTTCCCACACTGCCTTACCAGTCGACAGCTCCCAGCACAAGTCCCTGTGGATGTTCTCTGGGCACACGGGTACAGCCTCAACTCTACCTGCTTTGTGGTACTCCCCCCCGACCCCCCCACCCCCGAGACAAAGTTTCATGTAGCTCAAGCTGGGCTCAAACTTGCTATGTGCCTGAGGATGACCTTGAACTTCTCATCTTTCTGCCTTCGCCTCCTAGGCTAGGATGGTCAGGCATGTGCCATCATGCCTGTTCTGGGGACAGAGCACGAGTATGGATACACACATTCTCTAAATGAATAAAGGACACAGGAGAGAGTCTTACAACTATTTACAAGGTCAGGAATCCTGTGACCGATGGGATACCAATATGAAACTGTGTGGTGGCCTGTCTGCCTGGAACAGTCTTTCTAAAACAACTGGAATTGCTTTGGCTGTGCCTGCTTTGTCTATCTGGAGGAACGTTAGCGCGTGTTCTACAACTAAGCTATACTTCCAGCCCCTCCCTCCTGCATTTTCCCCATGTGGTTTGATTTGTACACATGCTTCATCTTGAGCTTGGCCATGAAAACCTAGCACACTCCTGCAGTGTGACATGTGGGGTAGGCACATGACTCTAGCTGGACCGACCAGAATAAAGGCTATTTCAAGTGTTACAGGAAAAGAAGTGCTTGTTTTCTCTTGGCCTTGCTAGGCAAGTTTTGGGGCAGCCTAGGCCATGAAGTGCAAGAAGAGCTGAGTAGCACAGGGAAGGGCAGCCTATGGTCAAGGAGGCCCTGAGGGAGGCAGTCCTGAGGAAGAGTATTTGGGTCTCTGGGTCCAAAACATGCTTTCTACTCTGGGTGGGCATTTCTTTTGTATTAAATTCAGTTAGGCAGATTCTTGCTACTTGCCACCGAGATCTACTCAACGACCAAGCTCTCATCCTACATCAATCTAGGGAAGTTATTATTGTCCCAAGTGCTGGCAAAGCAGAACTAGAACACTACAGAATTCCCTAGGATGCCTCTCTGGTCTTTACTATACCGCTCTATTCTATGAATACTCTGCTTTTCCTTCACTTATCCCTCAATTATTAAAATCCTTCAAACCTCTCCCCAGATATTATCTGGTTTCTTATCAAATAGGAATGAGGTATGATGCTACACACACACACACACACACACACACACACACTCACGAGCAAAAACAAAAAAAAATTAGCACTTGCCAAGCCTGGTGGCACATACCTTTAATCCCAGTCCTTAGGAGACAGAGGCAGACAGATCTTTAGGAGCTTGGTCTACACAGTGAGTTCCAGGCTAGATAGAGCCACAAAGCAGGGGGTCTCAAAATAAAACCAATGACCACAAAGAGCCAGGCACAATAGTGCATGCTTATAGTCCCAGCTACTTAGAACCCTGAGGCAGGAGATAACCAGGTTGAGGCAATAGTATATGTTGGTGTTTTGCGTGTATGCATGTCTGTGCATGGGTGTCAGAACTTAGTTAGACAGTTGCTAGCTGCCATGTGGGTGATGGGAATTGAACCCAGGCCCTCAGGAAGAGCAGTCAGTGCTTTTAAGAGCTGGGCCACCTCTTCAGCCCTCCTACAGGGCAATCTTAAAAAAAAAAAAAAAAAGGCCTTTTCTCAACTGACGTTCCATCATCTCTAGCTTGCACCAAGTTGACAAAAAATTAGTGAGCATGGGGTCCACATTGTTCTGAGCGCCTGGACACTAAGTATGCACTATTATGCTGGCTCTTTGTTTTGTTTAGTTTTTAGGTTTTTTTTTTTATTGTAAATAAATTTTTATTTAAGGGATTTGATTCCATTGCTCTCCAGCCTGAGTCACGTGGTTTCCAGATTTCTGAAGGGAGTTAAAGAATTAAGTTACGCTCTCACAGCTTCTGACTTGGGGAATGCATGTTATCTTCTCAGAAAAACACAACACTATATCAAGTGCCTGCCTTCTTCTGTGAAGAACATCAATCTTTGGTCACAGCGTAAAGAGCTTTAGGTGGTTTTTATTTTTATGTAGTTATTCTTTTATTTTGAGACAGGGTCCCACTTTGTAGCTGTCTAGCCTGGAACTCACGATGTGGATCTGTCTGCCTTTGTCTCCCAAGGACTGGGATTAAAGGTGTGTGCTACCAAGCTGGGCTTCCTTATGGTGTTTTATCATAACAATAGAAACCTAACGAAGATAGACCCAATTTCTAACAAAATAAAACAAAGGAACCAAAAACAAAAAAAAATCAGGAACAAAACCAAACCACTATGCATAATGTAGTCTATTACTATACATAGGTAACTTTCTTATTTTCTGCTTAAGGAGTATTTGTGAAACCAGAGCCTGAATAGTCTAGATAGAATTTTCTTAGAACTATTTTTATTTATTTACTTAAATTATGTGTATATGTATGGGTTTCTATACATGAAGGCAGTACCCTCAGAGGCCGGAAGAGGATGTCAGATTCCCTGGAGTTGGAATGGCAGGCAGTTGTAGATGCCCGATGTGGGTGCTAGGGACTGATCTCCAATCCTCTCCAAGAGCAGCACTTGTTTTGAATTGCTGAGCCATCTCTCTCCAGCAAAGAATCACCCCCGACTCCAAGTCCGAAAAACACTTTAAAGGGGATCTTCATCACTGGTGTCTCTTTACTACCCCTGTTATTCCAACCATCTCCCACAGGAAGGCACTTACTTTAGCTCACTTCTGGACCAGATCTTCCAAAAAGAGAACAACTCCAGAACAGACAGCAGCATGGCGTTGATGATAAGGAAGCGTGATGTCCAGTAGTGAACCTCCAGCCAGTCCCAGGCGAACTCTGCAATCAGCTGGTACGGCAGGAAGGAGTACTTGACAAGGAATTCTCGCCATTGCCTCCACGTGGGCTCCCTCAGGTCCTTGAAAGAACACACAGAGTCCCAATCACAGGACTGACTTACACAAGTCAACTCATACATCCCTTTAACAATCTAAGTTTTTTTCAGACAGCATCTTGTCATATAGCTCTAGTTGGCCTTGAACTCACATTTTTTTCCTGCTTCAGTTCAGAGCTCTAGGAATAAAAGTATATGTATGGCTTAAAATAGAGTATTAGTCTATCAATCTCACTTGTAATATTTCCTTTTAGAATAAATGAAGATGGGGCTAGAAAAATGGCTCATTGCTTAAGGACACATGCTGTCCAAGCACAAGGGCCAGAGTTTGAATCTTTCATATTTCATAAAAGCCAGGTATGGAGCCAAGCACTGATGGTGAAGGCCTTTCATCTCAGCACTCATTCACGGTGACAGAGGTCAGTGAATCTCAAAACACAAAAAAGCAAAAAAAAAAAAAAATAAATAAATAAATAAATAAAATAAAATAAAATCTTTTTCCTTCCTTCCTTTCTTTTTGAGACAAGGGTTTCTCTGTGTAGCCCTGGCTGTACTGACTGAAACTTGCTCTACAGACCAGGCTGGCCTCCAACTCACAAATTCCACTTGCCTCTGCCTTCCGACTGTTGGGATTAAAGGCGTGCAATCACCACTGCCCAGTCATGAAAACGATATCTTGATAGTGTATACTTTCACTTTTAATTCAGTTTTAACAGACAAAAAGTTAGCTTGATGAACAGTCAGGGGCTACTGGTGCTTATGGAAACACAACATTTCACAGCTTCTCTGTAAAAGCTGGCAGTGGTGGCGCACGACTTTAATTCCAGCACCTGGGGGGCAGAGGCAGGCGGATCTCTGTGAGTTCGAGGCCAGCCTGGTATATAAGAGCTAGTTCCAGGACAGGCCCAAACCTACAGAGAAACCCTGTCTTGAAGAAACAAACAAAAAAAAAAAAAAAAAAAAAACCAACCAACCAAACAAACAAACAAAAAACCAAAAAATGCTGGAAACTGGGTGATTAAAGGAATATCCCATAAAGCACAATTTCAACTCTATTCAAGACCAAGATCAGTAGGCAGGAACTTGATTGCTGTCTTTAAAGGAGCTTGTGGAGACGTGGGAATTCTGCTTTAGCCGGGTTAGAGAGGTCCTGACTTCAGTTCCCAGCAACCACATGGTGGCTCACAACCATCTGTAATGAGATCTGGTGCCCTCTTCTGGCCTGCAGGCATACATGAGACAGAATACCGAGAATACTGTACACATAATAAATAAATAGATTAAAAAAAATTCTGCTTTAGCATTTATGGGTGTGGGTTACTAACCATGATTCCTATACGTATGACAGTTTTTGAAAAAGACAGACTATAAGAATTAATTAATCCAACAGTAGCAAAGCAAAGGACATTACTCTCAAATGACCAAGCAGAATCAGAGAAGCCATCCTAGTAAAAAGGAATTGGGGAATGACCCATAATATGGAAAAAATAAAAAATAAAAACAATTGGCTAATGCCAGTAGTCATAATACCCTGGGTGTGGTCTTCAGGGAAGATCCAAACCATGCTTTGTAGTAGGCTAACAACTACCCTTCAGGGGTTCTGCCAAATTTGAAGTCCATACATCTAATCTCTTAGAATGCTCTGCACCTTCAATGACTTCTTTAGCAACAAAAGCAATGCTTTTTACAAAAAAGTATTTCAAGACTAAAAGGGTCATGCACTACTCACAAGCTACCAAAAGGCTGGGGTACTGTCTCCAGTTCTGTATGACATGGAGGTAGGGTAGAATTATCTTTTCCAGGAAACATTTAGACCTACCAGAAGCTTGGTGAGGATGTCTTCCCCAGAGTTGTCTTCTTTCAAGGGGCAGATGGTATGGATGAAGGGTAAGAAGGAGTCTGTGTAGTCAAACAGGTACAGGTACAGCAAGCCAAGCCTTGGGGAGCTCTTGAGGGCATACAGCAAGAACAGAGACCTGCCTGGGTTCACAGCCTGCAGAGGACAAGACAGAGAACCATATTACATACATGGTGGCCAGCTCTTCATCTGCCCTCCTTCAATGTCCCACAATTTTTACCACTAATCTTTTGTGTGCTATAGAGTCCATTTGTTGGGGTATACTGTAAAAAGTTCCAGTCTTGCTGGGCATTATTGCACACAGCTCTAATTTCAGCAGGAAGCCGGAGAATCTGAGGCCAGCCTTGGTATCAGAACAAGTTCAAGGGTAAGCCACATACCAAGCGTATTCCAAAATCCAGGAGGTTAGCTAAGTGTGACAGTGCACGTCTTTAAACCCAGCTTCAGGAGATTCATTGCCTTCTTCTGGCCCCTGAGGGCATTTGGCGTACTCAGACATAGAAGCAGGCCACACATTCAAACACATTAAAAAAAAAAAAAAAAAGAGATTATGCTGGCAAGATATCTTAGTGCACAAAGGACTTGCCACCAAACCTGAAAACATCAGTTTAATCCCTGGGACTCAGATGGTAGAAGGAGATTTCCTTCCAGTATTTGTACACTGTCCTGACTTCCACATGTGTGCCACAGCAGCTGCATGCACATACACGCACCCAGAAAGAAATAAGCATAATAAAATATAAACAGTATTATTAGACACACCACAAGCCCGGCAGGGTGTTGAACACCTATCATCCTGGCACTTACAGAGGAGGTAGGTGGACTGTTCACTGATGTAGACTCCACCCTGTCTGTGATCATCACATACAAAAACCAAAACCCAAAACAACAAACTGCACAAACTTCCAACTGAGGGACATTCTTCAAAAATTAGGATAAATTATAAAAAAAAACTTAGGATAAATTTTGAAAAAAGTTAATTTTAGAAGTCAAATATGATGCTGGGCATATTGGCACATGCCTTTAAATCCCAGCAGTTGGAAGGCAGAGTGCAAGCCCAGCCAGGTCTACATAGTGAGTTCTAGAACAGCCAGGGTTACACGGTGAGATCCTGCCTCAAGCAAACAAACAAGAGTCAAGCATGGTGATTAAAGCACTTAATTCTAGCATTTGGGAGCCTGAGGCAGGCATATCTAGACAACAGGGAGATTTTGCCTCAAATAAATGTTTCTATCTGTTTGTCTATCTGTTGATAGAGCAATCACTCAACCAACCATCTATCCATCTGCTCAGTATTAAACACAGGCCCCATGTAGGAATGTTAATATTCTCTCACTAATCTACCCCAGTGACTTCCTTATTCACACAGTCACTTTCTTTTCAGTGGATATCTGTATGTCTGTGTCTATTATTTAACTGTTGCTAATGATGGGCACAAGTTTCTTCTGTGTGTCTGGAGGTGTTCTCCCCTTGTGCAGAGGTCACAGGTCGACAATGGTGACCTCTTCTATTACTTTCTTATTTTTGTGACACAGCTTCTCAGTGAACCTAGACCCTATCAATTTGGCTACACTGTCTGGCCAATAAGATTTTGGGATCCACCTGTTTCTGAGCCACGATGCTTTGTTTCTCCATGGGTGCTGGGATCTGAACTCAGCTCATGTTTGCACAGAGTGCATGCTACCCACTGAGCAATTCTCTTCAGACCCTTTGTTGACAGAGGTTTCGGTCCCATCTGGTCCCTTAGCCGTTCTGTCCCAAACAAACTCAGAGAGGTCTACCTTAATCATAAACTGGTTGGTCTATTAGCTCAGGCTTCTTATTAACTAATTCTTACATCTTAAATTATCACATAATTCTTGTCTATGTCAGCCACGAGTACCTTTTATCAGTGGGGCATTCTCATCTTCCTCTGTGTCTGGGTGATGACTGCAGACTCACAGCCTTTTTCCTCTTCCCAGAATTCTCCAGTTCTGGTCACCCCACCTATACTCCCTGCCTGTCTACTAGCCAATCAGCGTTTTATTAAAACACCACAAGATCATTGTTCCACAGCAACCCTTAGATTTTTTTTTTTTTTCTGTGTAGCCCTGGCTGTGCTGGAACTCCCTCTGCAGACCAGGTTGGTCTCAATTCAGAGATCCACCTGCCTGTCTCCCAAGTGCTGGGATTAAAGGCATGCACCACCACCTGGCTCCTTTAGGTTGTTTTTAATGGACTGTTATGACCAATTACATTCAATTTTCTTCCCCAATCAGACTTGGTGAAACATGCCTGTAACCCAGCACTCAGGAGTCTGAGGCAGTGGTGGTGCACACACTTAATCCCAGCACTTGGGAGGCAGAGGCAGGCAGATCTCTGTGAGTATGAGGCCAGCCTGGTCTACAAGAGCTAGTTCCAGGACAGGCTCCAAAGCAACACAGAGAAACCCTGTCTGGAAAAGCAAAAACAAACAAAACAAACCGAAAAAAACAAGAACAACAAAAGTCACTTGACTGGCCCATCTCCACCCTCTGAACTACAAACTAACACTTTCCACTCTATGTTTAAGAGTTACAGGGTTTTGTTTCTTTCAATATGCATGCATTAATATCCCAGATATTTGCTCTTCAGTACAACATACATTACATTCTGTCTCTGAAGGAGAAACAACTGATATGGTCACAATGAAAATCAAGTTATCAAGCACAGTACGATGAAGCTGTGTATTATTTGTGACTGAATAACCCCACTCACTCCTCTACATGTGCCGTCAACAGTCTCTGTGTATGAGTGCCTGCAGCAGCACTGCTAGTGACAGTGCAAACAGAAGAGCTGCTGCTGTCACCAGCAGGGAAGTCCAGGGAAGGAGAAACAACCATGCATCCCGTGAACATCACCCAGAGATTAGGGACAGAGGCCTGAGACGGCTGTGTAGCACCCACTGCAGGAAGGTGACCCCGAGCACCACGGTACTCGTGACTTCAGTGTCTGAAATGCAGAGTGAGGAAGAAGATGACTAGTCGTTTTCTATCGTTTTTCCCCCTCAGTTAAAAACAAGCGTTTAGGGGTTGGAGAGACGGCTCAGCGGTTAAGAGCATTGCCTGCTCTTCCAAAGGTCCTGAGTTCAATTCCCAGCAACCACATGGTGGCTCACAACCATCTGTAATGGGGTCTGGTGCCCTCTTCTGGCCTGCAGACATACACACAGACAGAATATTGTACATATAATAAATAAATAAATTAATTAAAAAAAAAAAAACCCACAAGCGTTTACCTTGTACTCCCAGAGATTCTGGGGTGGCTTCACGCCCAGGGCTCTTACGCGCTCCAGCTCCAGGAGGATGGCTCTTCTGTGGCTACTGTTTTCTATGGCGTACGGTGCTCTGGAAAATTCTTCCTCTGTCAAAGTTAAAAGCAACCTAGAGGGGTAAGACGTAGAAATGACTTGAGATTATAGACGGGATGTAGACTTGCACGCTGAATTCTGTCTTAGTGTGCAAATGTAGTCTTGTGTGGAAAGGCAGAATGTTAAATGCTGGCAGCAGTGCCCATGACTGCCAAGAGCAGTTTGTTTATTACCAGCCAGTCACCAGCAGGAAGTATTCCCACAAACTTGTCGCTATCTATTTAACTCTGCAGAGTAGCATTGTACTCACTGTGCAGACCAGAAACTGGCTTCAGAAATAAAGTGACTTGCCTTAGGCACATCAGGGTGCTTGTTCTGAAGCCTCCGATCTATCAGTTTCTGATTCCTGTTGGCATATATTACTTTGTTTTTAAAGGGGTGTGTGTAGGAGAAAACTAGAAGGAAATCCAACCGAACAAGGTTCCATTAAGAGTGGTTGTTTTAGCTGGGCTTACTACTACACTTCTCTAATACTGGTGACTTGGAAGGCTGACACAAAAATCACACACACAAAAAAATAAATAACAAATGTAAAATTACTATCTAAGAAAGCAAATAAAATGAGAAAACAAGACAAAATGTAAAAAAAAAAAAACCAAACCCCAATAATCTATTTCTATAATGACTCAGTACTAAAACATCCTCGTATAGTGGGAATAGAGTTAAAAAGCTGGGTTCCTTACACAGGAGAGTAAGGCAGGAGAAGTGAACACTCAAGGTCAGTCAGGAAAACACTGTGAAATCTGTCTTAGATAAACAAAAGCAAATCAAAACCCCAACAACACATTCATATAACTGTACAAACATAAAAAAGCCAGGCAGGGCTGAGGAGAGTTTCAATGGTAGAGAGAGGAGCTGGCATGTTCAAAGCCCTATGTGATCCCCAGAGGACATCCTGACAAGACAACACTCAGATTTAGAAAGATATGTAATAAGATTATTTTTTTGAGACAGGCTGTGATGTATAGCTCAGGTTGATCTTGAACTCTGACCGTCCTACCCTCATCTTCCATGTGCTAGGACAGTAACTGTGTGCCACCATGCTAAGTTATGTCTATATTAACAGCAATATTCTGAGAGGAGTAGCAACATAAAGAAACGTGCTTTTGATGTCATAATGTCTTACATTATGTTTTTAAAATAATGCTACTCCATAATAAGGAGTAATACAGAAATTAAAGTATCACTGATATAAAGTGGTTCAGCCCCTGTGGAAAGCAGCTCGTTAATGTCTTTGAACAGGAAACACAGATTGACCCTGTGATGTGGACTCTCTTCTCCAAGAGCTCCCAGAATACAAAGCCTTGTATGTGAGTGATCTTAGAGCACTCTTCAGAACAGCCACACACAGAACCAACGCAAATGCCCATTAAGTGAAAAACTGACAATCTGGTCTAACCATCCATACAAGGATGTTTTACAGACACAGGATAAAGGTACTGGTGGATGCTTTTTTCTTTTTTTTTACATTTCAATTTTTTTTTCTTTAAAAGGAGTGAATTGTGTACAGGGGGGTTAAATGCTTTATAGACAAGAAAAAAACTGCGCTAGAACCAACTTATTCATCATCATCATCTTCTTCCTCATCTTCCTCTTCCTCCTCTTCATCCTCTTCGTCTTCCTCATCATCTTCCTTCTTTTTCTTGCTCTTTTCCGCCTTGACCACCCCCTTTTTTGCTGCATCGGGTTTTCCTTTAGCTCTGTAAGCAGCAATATCCTTTTTGTACTTCTCCTTCAGCTTGGCAGCCTTCTTTTCATAGGGCTGCTTGTCATCTGCAGCAGTGTTGTTCCACATCTCTCCCAGTTTCTTTGCAACATCACAAATGGATAAGCCAGGGTGTTCTCCTTTGATTTTGGGGCGATACTCAGAACAGAACAAGAAGAAGGCCTAAGGAGGCCTCTTGGGTGCATTGGGGTCCTTGAACTTCTTTTTGGTCTCCCCTTTGGGGGGGATGTAGGTTTTCATTTCTCTTTCATAACGAGCCTTGTCAGCCTTGGCCATGTCTTCAAATTTCCCCTTTTCTTTAGCAGACATGGTCTTCCACCTTTCTGAGCACTTCTTGGAGAACTCTGAGAAGTTGACAGAAGCATCCGGGTGCTTCTTCTTGTGTTCCTCCCGGCAGGTTTGCACAAAGAATGCATACGAGGACATTTTGCCTCTCGGCTTCTTAGGATCTCCTTTGCCCACGGTTAGTTGATTTTCGTCCGCGAGGCACAGAGTCGCCCAGTGCCCGTCCGGCTCTCGCTTGCCCCGGCGCTGTCTCTATCTGGTGGATGCTTTTTTCGTGTGTGAAATTATGCCAAGTGAAAAAGCTACACACAAAAATTTTTTACATATTTCATGACTACATTAATATGCAAGAACTATGGCAAATACGTTTCCGGATAAGATAACTGGTATCTGTCGAGGGAGAAAGGAGTGAGGATGGACCAGTAAAGGGAAGAATCTTCTTTTGGGAGTCAGGAAACTGTTCTAAAGGTAGACCAGTTGTATATCTCTGTGAAGATATCACAAAGCCACGTTGCTGTGGAATAATAAGATGTGTGACTTTTTTATGCTGTGAAACATTTGTTTAACAGTGTTCTTTTATGTTGCATTTGTTTAGCTCAGTGAAGTTGCATTACTTACCTGTCTAAAACACCTGATTGGGCTACTAAAAAGCTGGACGGCCAATAGCAAGGCAGGATGAAAGGATAGGCGGGGCTGGCAGGCAGACTGAATACATAAGAGAGACCTAGGAGCGAAAGAAGGAGAAGAGAGGACTCCAGGGGCCAGTCACTTTAGTTACAATTTCAGCCACCGAGTAAGAAGTAAAGAAAGGTATAGAGAAAGATAAAGCCCAGAGACAAAAGGCAGATGGAATAATTTAAGATAAGAGGGCTAGAATAAGACAAGCTAAGGTTGGGCACTCATAAGAAAGAATAAGACTCTGTCTGATTTAGGAGCTGGGTAGTGGGGGCCCCAAAAGAGCAAAAAAAAAAAAAAAAACAAACAAACAAACAAAAAAACCAAAACCTTGTTTATACACTTCTACAAGGATTTGTGGCAGATAAAATGTTTATCAATAAAGTTACCTACAAGCATGTCTGTTGTGCCAGAGGTATTCAGTTTGTTTGTTTGTTTGCTTTGTTTTTGACAAGGTTTCTTTAAGTAGCCCTGCTGGCTAAGAACTTGCTAGGTACACCAGGTTGGGTTTAAACTCCCAGAGATTCTACCTGCCTCTGGGATTAAGGCAGGCACCACCATACCTGGTCTGGAGTGGTAGATTTCCCCCTTACCTTCCATTTACTCTTTCAGATAAGAAGCTTTCTCTGTAAAGAGAGGCCCAAGGGCCCAGCTGTTCTAACCAGAGGACAACTTCTTCTGCTGTCCATTTGGCTACAGCCTTGTGCACCAGGAGGCCATGCTCAGACTCTCTGCTGCGCCAGTGATACACAAGCAGGACGACCTGAAAGGAGACAGGCTGTCACAAGTGGGAAAGCCAGTTTCTGAGGGTGTGAGTCTGAGAAACAAAACTAAGTCTATACAGAAAAGGAAGGAGCTTCTGCCACAGTGAAGTGAGGACACAATGTCTTCAGAGGCAGTTTATCTCATGGCTGGGTAGAGATCTGGAAAGGGTAGACAGCAGACAGCCGAGGAACAGTTGTGGTCCTGACCCCACTAGCTCACATGCCTTTTCTACAGGGAAACCTTTTAAGATTGCAATAAGTCTTTGCACTGGCAGCGATGTACGTGCTCTTAAGAGTCTAGCATTAGCACGGATTTGGTTTCTCAGTCTTCTGCTCCTCTCCTCAATTCTTTTTATTTTTTAAAATTTATTTAAATTATTTTATATGCATTGGTGTGAAGGTGGCAGATACCCTGGAACTGGAGCTACAGACAGTTATGAGCTGCCATGTGGGTGCTGGGACTTGAATCCGGGTCCTCTGGAAGAGTAACCAGTGCTCTCAGTGAGTCATCTCTCTGGTCCCACCCTTTCCTCAGTTCTAAAATGAGGTTCATCATGATGTCACTCACTGCACAGGTCAGGAGGAGGACAGAGTTAACACTTAAAGACAACTATTGTCTAGTCTCTGCTACTTGTGGGGCCCAGCACAGCCTGGCCACACATGATAGGGCCCAGGCCACATGGGCTGCAATAGCAGGCAGCACCAGGTTCCAGGGAAGGCCATAAGCTGACATCACCCAGGAACAGGCCATCCAAAAAAAATTCCTAACATTCTAACCATTGTAGATAGAATCACCTGCCAGCACACACCCATCGCTTTTCACAAGAACACCCCTAGACAAGTGTCGGCCAATCAGGGGTCCTAAGCCTTAAAAATCCCTCATCCCTACCTTTGCTACTATAAAAACCCAACCCCAATTAAGCTCGGGGCTCTCTGATCACTCTAATATGTTGGACACACCGAGAGTCCGAGTTTGCAAACTTGTACAGAATAAAGGATCTTTGCTTTTACATACAGGGCTCAGTTTCCTAGTTGGTTTCGGGGGACTCCGCCATCTGGTGTACCTTACTAACATAAAATACCATTCTGATGAGTCACACCATCAGCTGTTTCAGAGCTATCAGAAGAACTGACTTCAGAGCTAACTGTGGGTGGCACAGGGCTCAGATTACACAGACAAACTTACTGCCACACCAGTCAAAGCAGTGAGTACTCCGGAGAAGAATCCCCCTCCTCTCTGCTGATTCACTCGCCCTGTGCTGGCAGTTACAGGACTCTGATCACTCCCGTATTTTTGAAAGGCTGCAAGACTTTGAACTATGTCATTATTCTGCTGAATGTCTTCAATTCGCATTCTAATGGCATCAGGAAATAACTTTTCAATGGCATCCCTGAAGAGAAAAGAGAAATCATAGAACAGATGTTTGATAAAACACAGCACTCAGAAACCACACCAACTAATACAAACATTTCATAATCTACATACATGCCTAGAAGAGAAGCAAAGAGTTCTGCTTTATGATAAAAGCAAAAATGGAAGAGCAATCTATGTGTCCACCATTAAGGAAACAGCCAAATGAAATAATTACATCAAATCTGAACCTAAGGCCTCATATATAGTATCAATGTGCTTTACCACTGAGCTACAGCCTAGCCCTTGAAGTAGGCCCCACTCGTATTGCTAGGTGTTAGTGTGCACACCTTTAATCCCAATACTCTAGGGGCAGAACTTTGAGACCCAGGCTAGCTTGGTCTACACAGAAAGTTACAGGATAGCCTGGGTACTTACTTAAGTGCACACTTGTGTTCGATGTGTGTCTGGGTGTGGTCATGCTTACGTGGAGGTTAGACGACAACTTTCTATCATAGAACTCTGGTCATCATGTTTGAGTGGCAGGTACTATTAGCTGCTGAGCCTGAAATACAATACTGAACTCTTTTTTTTTTTTTTTTTGTAATACTGAACTCTTATAGTAGAATACTACGTATTTTTATAAATGTACCTACTGGGTCACTCTGTATCAAGTTGGATAATTTAGGACATAATGTTGGATGAGAACAGTATATTGCAGTGCTGGACTAATACCACTGATGTGAGAAAATACTAGCATTTTTCTGTCAGCACATATATTCAAAAGTATTTGTTCTTATTTTTTGAAAGAGGGTCTCATGCAACCCAGGCTGGTCTTGAATTCCCCACATAGCAGAGGATGATTGAACTTCTGAACTCCCTTCCTGTACCTGCACGCCCTGCTTCAAATGGCACTGTTTTGTTGTACAGATTTACTCATTCCTTGTATGGGTGTGTGCCTGAGTGTATGTCTGGGCACCATCCCTGAGCTGCAGTTACAGGCGTTGTGAGGTACCATGTGGGTGCTGGGAACCGAACAAGGTCCTCTGAAGCAGCAGCAAGGACTCTTAGCTCCTGAGTTTTCTTTCTAGCCCTCTTCAAAAAGTCTTACAAATCTGAATGAAATCACAACTAAGTCCTAACTGAGGGTTCTTAGGGGAGGAGAGTGTAATGGTTTGTCCTGTCCCTTTAAGAGACAAGCTGATCTTCAGCTTCTAGTCTGAGTCCCCCAGAGAGGTAGCTGCTGCTGTAGCTCCTCTTCTCCCCACCCTCTGTTTCTCTCTTTCTCTCTCTCTGCCCCTCTTTCCGCTTTCCTCCTTCCCCCCCCCCCCCCCCCATAACCCACTAAATAAATATCCAAACTCACTCTGCATGGTGTGCCTATCTGTCTGTCTCTTGCTTGCCATGTGGCTCCCTACCCGGGACTAGCCGCCTATGGAGACCTGCAGCGTGGGACTGGCTGCCCCTTCAAGGTCTCTCACACCACACAGCTCCCTGCCTGGGACTTGCTGCCTCTCGTGGCCCACTGTAGCCACTTGGAGAACTGTGCCATCCCTGCCTGGGGCTAGCTGCTCTTGGGACCCACAGCCCGCTGCAGCCACTTGGGGACCTGCAGCATTTTTTACTTAAACCATAATAGAGAGGTCTTTAGCTTGATCATGAATTTTGAATCTTAATAAGATAATACAAGCCATAATCTAGACATGGCCATTAATGGTTATAGCCTCAGCACTCAGGAGGCCAAATAGAGTAGTTACCATGGTTCTGAGGCCAGCCTGGGATACAGAGTGAGACCTTGTTTCAAAGAGTCAACGAAGCGGGGCAGTGGTAGCGCACACCTTTAATTCAGCACTTGGGAGGCAGAGGCAGGCAGATCTCTGTGAATTGGAGACTGGCCTGGTCTACAAGAGCTAATTCCAGGGCAGGCTCCAAAGCTACAGAGAAACCCTGTCTCAAAACAAACAAACAAACAAACAAAAAGTCAAAGAAAATTAAAATTATATGAATGTATATGAATGTACTACTTATGCTATTATGATAAAGATTTACAGAAATGGAAAATGAAGTTCAGTTGGAAACAGTGTGCTATACAGTTACTTTTTGACAGAAGTGTTAATTTTCTTTTCCTTTTTTTTTTTTTTTTTTAAAGAAATCTAGGGGGCTGGAGAGATGGCTCAGCAGTTAAGAACACTGACTGCTCCTCCAGAGGACCTGGGTTCAATTCCCACCACCCACATGGCAGCTCAAAATTATAACTCCAAGCTCTGACACCTCATACAGACACACATGCCAGCAAAACACCAATTTTTATTTTAAAATAAAAATTAAAAAAACGAATTTCTTTGTAATTAATTTTTTTTAGAATTTTATATATGAATACTCAATTTACAACATTTTCACCTTCCCTTCCTCTCCAGTTCCTCCCCTTAAATTAATAACTTCTGACAGGTGGTGGTGGTGCATGCCTTTAATCCCAGCACTTAGAAGGCAGAGGCAGTCACTGATTGTTCTTGATCCAAGGGTAGGTAGGACTTCAGAAATCTCCCCAACCACACTGGCATGTCAACTGTCAGGTGGCCACGTGCTTATTCAGGTCTGGTTTAGACAAAAAGGTTTCAGATTCAAGCTGGACTATGGAGGCAGAGGCAGGCGGGTCTCTGCGGGTTTGAGATCAGCCTGGCTTACAGAGCTGAGTTCCAGGACAGCCACAGAACACAGAGAAACCCTGTCTTGAAAACAAAAACAACAACACAAACAAAAGAACAACTACAACAAAAAAGGTTTCAGATGTTGCAGTTGTAGCTTTCTTGTATGTCTCAAGGGTACCACCTAACACCGAGCACCCTAGCCCTCTAGCTCTTCTATCTTTCCAGGATTTTCCTTGAGCTTTAGGTGCAGGGCTGTGTTGTAACCAAGTGCAGCTGAGCGGACTTCCGCAGCAGCACCTGTCTGCTCTAAGAAGCTCTCTGATGAGAAGAGTGCTGGCTCAGCAGCCAAGCTAGGTATGGGCGAGTAGAGGGCTCTTCCTAAAAATAATGTTATTACATTTATTTGTGGATATATTTATAAGCGTGTTGACTTTAGGGAAACCTTTCAATTTTTCTCTCCATGGCACATGCAGGAGATTGGAGGACAACTCTCCATCACGTGGATCCAGGCATTTAAACTTGAGTGGCCAGTAGTGTTTTTATGCATGGAATACCCTACTGGACTCCCACAAAACTCTTTTCATTTTCAATTATGTAAAATCAAGGAGTCCTCTTTCCAGGTAAGATGAATCTTTTTGTTTTTTTGAGACAGGGTTTCTCTGTAGCCTGTCCTGAAACTAGAATGCCTCGAACTCACAGAAATCCACCTGCTTCTGCCTCCCTCCTGAATGCTGGAATTAAAGGTGTGCACCACCACAGCCTGGCTAGGATTAGTCTTCAGGTAAAGTAAAGCTGACAGTTATGACCGATGCTGGGCACATGGGCACACACCTTCAACCCCAGAAAAAGGCAGGCAGATCTCTGAGTTAAGGCCAGCCTGATGTACACAGCAGTCCCATGACAGTCAGGTACGATGGATGCACTGAGTGAGACCTTGCCTAAAAAGAAAACAAACCAAACAGAAGGGCAGGTGACAGCCACGTGTGAGAAAAGGAATCGTCTTTTTTGTTTCAAACCCCTAGAATGATCTGCCCTGAGCCTGTTCCTTGTCAAACAACAGCTCCCACAGAGAAACCGTATGGTACATCCATGTTTCCAACAGCACACAGGTTACCTGAGGAGAATGTTGACTTTGGGGAAACCTTCCCATTTTTCTCTGCATTCTGGACACTCTGTCTTCTTTGAAGACATCCACCATAAAGCTAGGCAGTGCCGGCAGAAGCTGTGGCCACAGTTCAAGGTGGTGGGGTTAACCAGGGTGTCGTAACAGCAAGGGCAGGAAAACTCGCTAACAGAAATCTGAGAGCCGGGACCTTCCTCCTCCTGCCCTGTTATGTCCAGGTCATTTTTCTGAGGCTCCTCCATCTCAGTAAATTCTGGGATCCACACACATAGAAACTTCCAGAATCAGGACATCGCGATAATGCATCATAAGTCTAGAGGAGGAAGCAATAGAACAGGATGAATAGTGGTTGTGGAAGATGCTGCCATTCGATTATACTTCTCCCTCTCCCTCTCTCTTTTTATTTTAGGGTGTGCGGAGGGTGTGGGGAGAGGGTCCTAATATCCAGGCCGGCTTCAAACTCCAGATCCTCCTGCTTCAACAAACTCCAAGATGCTAAGAACAGAGGTGTGCACCCCACACCTGGTTTCTGGGATGCTGGGGACTTCATACATGATAGACAGAAACTCTACCAGCTGAGCTGTTGTTTCCAGCCCCTAGCGTGCTAAGCTTTAGCCAATGAAGGCATTCTAGACAAGTGTTTTTACCACTGAGCTATACCCCAGGACTAGAATTCTGATTTTTGGTTGTGAGCCTAGCCTTTAACGGCTGAGCCATCCCTCCAAGCCTAAGTTCTGATTTTTAATGTGACAAATTTAATTAATAAGATTTTACATTTTATAAACCATCAGCAAAAAGATATTCACCACATTTTGAAGACATTTTGAAGTGGAGACAGGAGGATCAACAGTTCAGGATTAAAGGCTGGAGAGATAGCTCAGTGGTTAAGAACACTGGCTGCCCTTCCAGAGGGCCTGAGTTCATTTCCCAGCATGGTTTATAGCCATCTATAGTAGGATCTGATGCCCTTTTCTGTTATGAAGGCATACACACAAGTAGAGCACTCGCACATAAAATATATAAATAAATCTTAAAAAATATTTAAAGAAAGAAAATAAATTAAACTTAAGGGGAAAGGAAAATGGCTTGACCATTAAAGCGCTTGCCATGTAAGCATGAATATCTGAGCTTGGAGCCTCTGCACCAACGGAAATCTGGGCACAGTGGTGTTTAGGCTTGTAATCCCACCACCAGGGAACAAAGACAAGAGGGATCCCTGGGCCTCCCTGCCCAAGGAGTTTAACTGAGTTGATTTCCAGGCAAGTCCCTGTGTCCAAAAAATTGGGTGGACATCTTGATGGGAAATATGTAACATTGGGGGGGGGAGTTTGCCTTTGTCTTTGTAAACCGTAATTTGCTGCCATTTTCTGGGAACACCAGAATGGATCTGGACAGAGTTCTTCATCCTGGCCAGAATTTATTTAAAGTTTCCTTCAAATTTGTCTCAAAATTGTGGTAGTGATCTTATCCTCATCCAGTAGAACTAACAGTGTCTTCACCACCCAATCACCTCCCCTTCTGACGCCACCTGTGTCACTGCTAACTCTCTTGCCTCTCCCCACACCCTTTAAGTTCTTTAAAAGCTGGACTTAGGCCCCACGCCTTTAATCCCAGCACTCGGGAGGCAGAGGCAGGCGGATCTCTGTGAGTTCGAGGTCAGCCTGGTCTACATGAGCTAGTTCCAGGACAGGAACAGAAAAGCTATGGAGAAACCCTGTCTCGAAAAATCCAAAAAAAAAAAAAAAAAAAAAAAAAAACTCCAAAAAAAAAAAAAAAAAAAAAAAAAAAAAAAAAAAAAAAAGCTGGACTTAATTTAAAACAATTACTACTGATTGCTCCTGACTTGTGTGTGGGTGCTTATGTTATGGTGCATGTGTGGTAGTCTGAAAACAACTTTGTGGCATTGATTCTTTCTTCTCACTTTGCATGTTTCTGGGGGTTAAGCACAGGTTGCCAGGCCTACTGCCCAAGCAATTTTACCAGCTGAGCTGTTTCTTGCAGGCCCCTGAAGACCGAAGTGTGGGAGTTCACATCTGCAATCCTAGTCCTGGGAAGCTGAGCCAGGAGGACTGCTGCTCTTTCAAGGCTAGCCTCGTCTACAGATTGAGACCATTTAAGCCTGCCCCTACCTTCCCAAAATGAAAACTGGAGCTATCCCCAGTTCTGCGGAGGGGTTTGTTTTAGGCATGGTATATGCTCATTGGCGAGGCTCCCTCTCCTCAAGTATCTGAGGCTTTGTCTGCTGTCTGTTGTTTCAGGAGCACTCCATCTGCCATCTTGTTGCCAGTTCGTACTGATTGGTGGTTACTTCATCCTGTGGCTATGCCTTCAGGGTATGGGGCATGAAGGCAAGGAAACGGTGGTAAAACAGACAGATGACAAGTTCTATCTATGGCCATTTGATTTCATTGCTTCTAGGACCACAGACAGTAAGGGAGACCATCACGGAAGGGGTGTGTTGAAGATTAAAGTTTACTTCAGGTTATACAGGACACAGACAAAGCAAGCTCTGTCACTGAGACATGGTCTCTCTCTGTAGGCTGACCCTGAAGTGATGGCAATCCTCCTATCTCAGCCTCCCAAGTGGTGAATTATAGGCCTTGCCACCATGACCAACTTAATGCAATAATTTAAGTAAATTTACCAAGTAAGAAATCATTTAATCTAGGTTTAAGAATGTTTATGGGGCTGGAGAGATGACTCAGTGGTTAAAAACACTGGCTGCTCTTCCAGAGGACCCAGGTTCAATTCCCAGCACCCACGTGGCAGCTCACACCTATCTAGAACTTAGTTCCAGGGAATCTGATACCCTCACAACAAAGCACATACAATAAAATTAAAAAAAAATATATTTATGCCCGGCTTGGTAGTTCATGCCTTTAATCCTAGCACTAAGAAGGCAAAGACAAGTGGACACCATGATTGACACAATGAGTTCTAGCTCAGGTAGGTTCACAGTAAGACCCTACCTAGGGGTTGGAGAGATGGTTCAGCAGGAAGAGCACTGATTACTCTTCCAGAGGTACTGAGTTCAACTCCCAGTAACCACATGGTGGCTCACAACCATCTGTAATGAGATCTGGAGCCCTCTTCTGGCCTGCAGGCATACAAGCAGAGACAACACTATTTATAAAAAAAGAAAAGAAAAAAAGACCCTATCTCCATTCTTAAGTCTCAAATACCTGCAATAACAATACAGCAACAAAACGAACAAACAGTTGAAATCATGGTCTGTTACTACTTTGTATAACCTAAGGGGGGAAATTATGGATTTAAAGACTGCCATCATAGAGAAACTATTCCAATGAAGTGTAAGTATCAGCTCAAAGGCCTGATTTCCTCCTTCATCATCTAGTTCACACCACAGTGCTACTACAATTGTATGGATTTGACACTATCTGATGCATGAACTCCAACTATTAGATAAGCAACTGCTGGGATGAGCAAGGTGTTTCAGAGAACATCGGGAGGGAAGTTCTAGTACAGACACCACTACAGACACTGGCAGAACACTTCAGGATCCACCCAGCTCTCACGACTACCAAATAAAGATTAATGTGCCCAGACCAAGTGAAGCAAAGGTCAGGGATGCCAGTAAGAACAGAATGGTAGTGGACTCCTGCAGACGGAAAAACTGGCTCCTCCATTACTAAGCAGAAAAGCATCCTAGTCACTATATTTTCCAATTCCAAAAAGACTCTTCTGGAGAAGGTCAGAGGTCAGCTCCTTTAGATGTTGACTTGTTGCCCTAACTTAGACTGCTTTAAATTATGTTGGGCAAGACAAGGGCAGGCTGAGAAAAGCATCAGCTGAGCCTGCCGTCCGCTGTCTCTGTGGCAGGCTTTGGAGGACCTATTCTGTACTACACCTAACTTCTTGTTCAACAACTCAGAAAGCTATTAAGAAAACAAAACAAAAAGAAACAAAACAAAAAGCCTGTTGTGGCGTGGCAGCGGCAGCACACACCTCTAATCCCAGCACTTGGAAGACAGAAGCAGGTGATCTGACAAGGAGGTGTCTACAGAGTGAGTTCCAAGACACTCAAGGCGGTTTACACAGAGAGACCCTGTCTCAAAGAAAAACAAAACAAAACCCCTCAAAAGCACAAAGACTCTAAACCAAAAAGCTTACAGGGGTTACCAAGTAACACATGCCCTAATAGTTGGTTTTAAATATCCATTTTGGTGCTGGGAGTATAACTCAGAGGGTCATCAGTTGACTAGAAGGGCAAAATTCCGAGTTTAACCCCCAAGTGCCACAAAGATACAGACATCAACTCAACTCATATTATAAGTTCACATGCCCTTGGAAGATTCAGCCCATTCCTATACTTTTTTATTTTTTTCAAGATACCAAAGCACCAGTTTATTAAAATAATATACTTTGTAGACCTTTAAGACAATTCTAAGGCCATTACTGAGCCCTCAGTCTTAGTGCTACCCCCTCCCCCGTACTGAAATGTTGGGAACTTTCCATCTCCCTATGTCCTGTGGATGTTCTCTAAATAGAGTTCCGTTCCTAGAATTGGGACAAGACAACCCACAGATGTCCACAGATGTTTTGACTCTGACCCTGGAAAGGGGTCAGAATGACCCCCAGATGTTCCCTGTTACCTCGCCTGATCTGGCAACTGCTCTCCAGCCCTGGCTCAGATCACTTGTTATTAGAAGCCCCCTTGAATAAGCCAATCCTAATAGTTGGAAAACAACCCCGAGTCCCCACCCTGTTTCTATGGCCTTTTGCTTTAAAAATGGCTTGTAACAGGCATTCGAGGTGCTTGGCATTGAATGCTGAGGGACCCTGCCGTGGCAGAATAAAATCCTCTTGTTATTACAACAACTGCAGTGTGAGAGTGTATTCTTGGGGTGACTCCTCCACGGTAATTGGACTCTAGGGTCCAACAACTTTAATGTAGGATAATTTTAATACAAGCAAGTAAAGAAAGTAAAAATCACAATTCAAAATGCTAACATTTTTATATGCTATCATTTACTATGAAATTCAGTCTCTAAACTATAAAGTACACTTGGGCCACGCATTTTTTTTTTTTTTTTTTTTTTGGTTTTTTTGAGACAGGGTTTCTCTGTAGCTTTGGAGCCTGTCCTGGAACTACCTTTGTAGACCAGGCTGGCCTCACAGAGATCCGCCTGCCTCTGACTCCCAAGTGCTGGGATTAAAGGCGTGTGCCACCACCGCCCGGCCTGGGCCACACATTCTTGCACTTGGAAAACTAAGAACATGAGTAAATCAGAAGCTGCTCCCAGCAGCTAAGACACCCACTGAACACTGGCGTGTGTATGAATGAGTAGGTTCTATAGGTGGAATGGAGTTCGGAATTGATTGCGTTAAGCTGTTTTACTTACTTGACATTGAAGTATTTCCTTTCATCACAAAAATTCCATATTCGAAGTATTTATGCAATTCTGGAGTAAAAACCGAGGAACGCTTTTCTGCCAGAGCACCAATTCTTAAGAAGCATCATACTCTGCAGTGAGCTGCCTGAGCTCTCTCACACACTGCTCACTTATTTCATGCAAGTTCTGAATTCAGAGTGCAAACTGAATGTGTTTTTCTAATGAAAGATCTTTTCTTTTTTTTTTTTTTAAAGATTTATTTATTAATTATGTATACAGCATTCTGCTTACATGTGTCCCTGCAGGCCATAAGAGGGCACCAGATCTCATTACAGATGGTTGTGAGCCATCATGTGGTTGCTGGGATTGAACTCAGAACCTCTGGAAGAACAGTCAGTTCTCTTAACCTCTGAGCCATCTCTCCAGCCCATGACAGATCTTTTCAACCAGCATTCATTACCATCGCAAAGGTTTCATAGTCCTGGTGGTACGGCTTGCTAGATTTCCTTGGTTTTGGATGCAATTGCTTTAGTCAGTTGGTCATCAACTAATTCTGTGCCTTCTGTTCTGTTTGATTCAGGCCCCTGGGGCTGATCCATAAGTAATGGTTCCGTGACTCCAACTTCAAACTCAGAAACTTTAGGTAAGTCACTATCACCTGCCATCTTTGGCCTTTCTACAGCCTGCCTGCTGGTAGCTTCAGAAAGTTCTTTCCATGGAATTTGTTGAGTTTGTTTAAGATTTCTGGTGAGGGAACTGCTGGGGAACTTGATGGGTATGTGCCTCGTGATGTTTTCAAAGACCAGCCAGGCCTCTTTTGACCTCCTTCTGGCTTTTCTTCTCTGTGCCATCTGTAGGAGGCATGAGCATGCACGGGTTCCTTAAACTGTAACCAACGGGAAGAATTCTGCTTGCGTCGTTTTGGAGAGTGCCCTTCATGGGATCCAGACCTGCTATATGAAGAGTCCTTCTCACCTACACTTGATCTGCTGAAGAACGAGCAGCCCCTTTACGGAGAGACCACTGTCTTGACTAACGAACGGTAAGAGGAGCATCTTCTAAAATCATCTTTCATGGCCTTGCACCAACACTGCTGCCTTGCAGAAAGACCGTCCCTTGTTCTCCTCAGGCCAGATTCATCACTACAAAACTCTGAGGAAGTCTGTTAGAGCACATCTCATCTGTACACTAATTTTGGATGGTGACCAAGGATAGCGGGGATGTGAAGCATGGATAGTCGGGCAAGCCACAAGCTCACCAGGACAGTCCTAGCAGTCCTTTGATGGGCACTGAGACACTGGCCTCAAAATTCCCCTGCACCCGAGGGAGGCTGACTCTGGAAGACATGGCTTCAGTGCAGCTTGATGGCTCTGGGTTCCAGGATGCTGCGCAGAGGCTGCCACGGAGGCGGTCAGAGGTTTGGCTGGTGTGTGCTAGTGAGTAAAAGTCAAGTATACACTGCCTTGCATTATTTGTTCATGATAGGCTTCTTACAACCTCTGAAAGGTCAGTGCACACTTCTTTCAGGTTTACAAAAATTAGAAATGGGCCAGGTACTGGTGGTGCAAGCCTTTAACCCCAGCTATAGGAGGCAGAGACAAGTGGATCTCTCTGAGTTTGAGGCCAGCCTGGACTACAAACTGAGTTACAGTACAGCCAGGGGTGTTTCTAGAAAAACAAAACAAAACAAAACAAAACAAAACACAAAGGACATGGTCAACAAGACAAAATGACAGCCTACAGAATGAGAAAAGATCTTCACTAACTCCACATCAGACAGAGATCTGATCTCCAAAATATACAAAGAACTCAAAAAATTGGACACCAAAAGATCACTTAATCCAATAAAAAAAAAAAGAAGTACAGACCTAAACAGAGAACTCTCAACAGAGGAATCTAAAATGGCTTAAAGACACTTAAGAAAATGTTCAGAGGGCTGGAGAGATGGCTCAGTGGTTAAGAGCAGTGCCTTGTCTTCCAAAGGTCCTGAGTTCAATTCCCAGCAACCACATGGTGGCTCACAACCATCTGTAATGAGGTCTGGTGCCCTCTTCTGGCCTGCAGCCATACACACAGACAGAATATTGTATACATAATAAATAAATAAATATTTAAAAAAAAAGAAAGAAAGAAAATGTTCAACATCCTTAGTCATCAGAGAAATGCAAATCAAAACAACTCTGAGATTCCATCTTATGCCTGTAAGAATGGCCAAGATCAAAAACACTGATGACAGGAGCTGGAGAGATGGCTCAGTGTGCTCTTCCTGAGGTCCTGAGTTCAATTCCCAGCAACCACATGATGGCTTACAACCATCTGTAATGAGATCTGGTGCCCTCTTCTGGTGATGTGGGCATACATGGAGGCAGAATGTTGTATACATAATAAATAAATAAATCTTTAAAAAAAAAAACACTGATGACAACTTATGCTGGAGAGGTTGTGGCGGAAAGGGAACACTTTTGCATCGCTGGTGGGAATGCAAGCTGGTACAACCCCTTTGGATGTCAGTGTGGCGATTTCTCAGAAAATTAGTAAACAACCTTCCTCAAGACCCAATAAGGCCGGGTGGTGGTGGTGCACGCATTTAATCTCAGCACTCAAAAGGCAGAGGCAGGAGGATCTTTGTAAGTTTGAGGTTAACCTGGTCTACAAGAGCTAGTTCCAGGAGAGGCTCCAAAGCTACAGAGAAACCCTGTCTCAAAAACAAAACAAAAAAGACCCAATAATACCACTTTTAGGT